ATTTATGTTTATTTCGATACTCATGTACAGCGCCACTGCTTATCCTGATTTTACCATCAATTTGAATTTCAGTTAATTTTTTCATAGTACCTCCAACTGTTTCTCCACCACTTCCAAATAAAATGTACTGAGATCCGTCTCTGCGTTCATGTATTACAGGAGAGATGTAGATTTCCTTAGATTCGGGCATTTTTAGAGGCCGTCCTATTGGTTCACCAGTTCCTCCAGAGATAAGCATCAACCAACCAGGATTCCTGTCGTGTTTCTTTGTAGGAAATATAACTTGTTTAATTTTATGGAAAAGTGTACATGTGGCTTTGATTAAAGACATAAAAATCTCAGGAAATAACTACCTCTGCTGGAATAACTGGGTCACCACCGTGAGCGATGACAATTTCCCCGACTCCATCGTAGTCCAGATCTTGAACTGTTGCTGGACTGTAGATATTCCAGCCATCGTGTATTTTAGATTTATCCGTTGTCCATAATACCTTACCTTCATTTAATACAGAAACATTAAAGATGACTACAACTGATACAGTATTCTAATGGTAAACGAAAATTAGATTTCTTTTTTATGTTTGTTGTATCTAAAATTGTTCAGCAACCTGTCTTCGGATCGATAGCTACAAGGGTACCGAGGCGTCCGGATGCTAGACAATCATAGGTGCCATCTTTGTTGACGTCAATGCCATGACAGTTTATTGCGAAGACTTCAGAATACACGTCTACCTTCCACAACAGCTTTCCATCATATCCCCTTAAGGCGATAACCCCACCAGCACAAGGGACCTTAAGACCTTCAGATATTTATTTCAAAATATTTTATAAAAAGATGAAGATCAAGCATTTAAAATTTTTGTTTGAAATAAAAACAGACCCAGAAGTAAAATGTGCTAAGTAGACACAGACCTATGCTTTCACAGAATTCCTCCATACTTGGTTCGGTTACCATGGTACTGATGTCTTTACCAATAGCCAGTCCGGTAATAATGTCCAATAACCCATCTCCGTCCACATCAACCAATCGGATACATGACTCAGAGCCTGATTAACGAATATACATTATGTACATTGACAAAATACTATGGATTTTTTTTTAATTCTGGGATTACCTTTAATTGACATTACAGTAAAGGATAACTGCATCGAATATAATACAATGCATACAACTTTGCTGTGTTTCAGTATCACTTTAGGGATGCAGTAAACTGATCATTCTCAAAGTTTTGTTTGAATGGTTAATGATGGTGATGACAAACCATGGTCCGCTATTTTTGTTCTCCATGGCGATGTATGTCTAGCTACTCTTTTATGTGACTCGTCGTTTGGTCTTTTAAAGGTCATGGGTGTAAAGAATCCGGCGGCATACCCGGCGCCAAACACCAAGAGTATCACAGCAAAAATCAAGGCAGCGTTTGTTGCTGTGCAACATTTGTTCTTGTTCGAGTCTCTTTGAGATCTAGAGAACTGATATCCTGTTCCACTTGTCTTCGATTGAAGTAATGAAGTTTTGTCATGAATTTGTACTTCCGGTTGTGACATGACTGGCATATCTTCGTCTTCATCCTCACTTCCGCTTCCCAGAGGAAGTAGATTTTTGTAATCTTTTCCTGTTTAATTTTAAATACACATCGTGATTTTTTCAATACAATTCAAGAACGATTTTGCAATAAAAGAAAAGTTTATCTTTTCTGAATTTTACCATGGTTCTCTTCAAATGTATTGTTTTGGCATGTTGTTTAACGTTTATTGTAATGCAACTTATATATAACATGTTTTTCCACAAGTATATATTTCTTCTAATCTCAAAAGTTCATGTGTTTGTACGATGCCATGAAATTAAGAATATTTCTTCTAAATTGACATCAATTATATGAAGTAAAAAAGTGAATGTCGAAAGGAAATTTTATTGAAGACTTTTGTTGAATAATTTCTAGACGTAGGCTTACGAATAATGTTTTTTTCACAAAACAAACGAAAATAAAGTAACAGAAAATTACCTGGCATTGTGTTTGTTCACCGTTCTACTTTCTGTAACGATCGTCTTGATAAGTCATGGTAAATGCATTCTACAAACCGAACCGATTTTGTAATGGAAGATAAGGACTCGATCCAATTGACTGTTAAGTACTACAATGTAATTGTAGTGAGATGTGGTAATTCTTGTACAATATCTCATCATATCTTATCTATATTCCCATATTGTTCGCAGATGATAATATTAGTATTTATTTTTCAAAATAAACTGTATTTTCACGCGATAATATTATTAGATCATGAGGCTTATATGCTTCAATTTGTTTGCAAATTTTGCTGTCGTTAGAAATAGTCACTGAACTTATTTTTTGGGGTGGAGTGGGGGTGGGGGCTCTGTTCAATTTCTATTCTTGTCGCCGCATCAAACGATTACATATACATGTAACATAGGTTAATGAAGTCGATCCCTCGCAAAACGACCAGAAGAATCGAGTCTTTCAGATATGACCTTAAAAAGCATTGGTCCCTTTTGGCGTTGGCACGATTAAGAACCCTCACTGTCAAACGGGCATGAGTGGTAGTTGGTACTATACATGTGTATATTTGGTTTGAATTGGAAATCCTTCGCCATTGAAGTGAAAAATTCTCGCATGGAATGTAAGTCAACAATCAATCGTCTAGTGGAAAAGCAAAAAGAGAACTCAATACAAACAGATTTTAATGTCCTGGGTGAATTTTTAAAACCTTTATTCTTAAAACAGAAAACGGATAGAAGATAGGCATACTTTTAAGTCAGATATTAACACTGGGGTATACTTTAAGTATTTGCATTCGTTACATCCACAGGCACTTGTTTTGGAAATATTTTTTTAAGGACAGATGAAACAAGGTATATATTTCTTGGCCTATTCTTGTTGCAAATGATACAACTAATAAATTTCCAAAATATGAAGAAATTGTTAGCCTTCTACAATGTTCAAAAGTTTACTTTTCTGCAGCCATCTTTATTAATCTATACAAATATTTTTCACCTCAAATTCAATTTTTTTTAAACCCTTGATTGAAAAATTTAAAACTACGCAGTTAAACGTGTTCATTTTACTCACTAAAATATGACTCAAGTTGTTATTTTCAACTTTTAAGACAAAACTTTGTATCATCTGTCCTTAACCCATAGTAGAATAGTATTACACAATGGGTTAAAAAATTATTTCCGAAACAATGTCTTTAATTGTTTGTATGCATGTACTGCATTGTCCTGTGCAACTGTTGTATTAAGTTTCTTTGGTATCTTTTTCACCTGCCATTAAAAAAGTAACATATATAGTTATTTTTGTTGCTACCGAGTGTTTTACAATAGATATGTATAGCTGTTACATACATCCGTCTACACAGGTGACAGCATCGTCGCAAACCACGGCCAAAATGTACGATCCTCTCTCCATCCCATGTAGGAGAGAGCTTTATGCGGACTCCGGACCGTGGCTTGAGACGATGAGGTGACAGATGATTACACTGAACAGTGACTAAGTGACTATATAGGGGCCCTAAAGTACAGTATATATATAAAAGAATATGACGGACAATTAAATTCATTTTACGCACAGATCTTGTTAAGCTTTAAGTAATCTTTATTACTAAAAAATTAAGACTCATAAATTTTTTGTAGTAATGTTATAATGATTTTTAAAAAAAAATAGTTGTAATCTTGAATTAATCAAAACAAATAACCAAGATTACAAGATTTCAAAGAGTTATCGATAAAATTACGATTACTTGTAATAAGAAAAAAAGATTATTACTGATTTACTTGTGATTACTCGGCAAACTGTAATCGATTACAGTTACTGATTATGATTACATGTACCCCATCCCTGTTTATGACATTGTCTTTTCTCTATCCTCAGTAGAAACAGTTTGTTGAAAATATGTATACCTATTGTACCATATAAATATTGTTTTCTTTTAAAAAAATTAATTATGTATGAACAATTTTGGACAGAATGTCATGAGCGTTAAATATCACCGAAAAAGTTATTAGTGAAAACATTTTTATTCTGCTTATATATTTTTTATATATAAATAAGAGACGTATAGGTTTTTGAAAATACAGAAAAAATTGATATGGTGCCTCTAAATACGTTTTTTTTTACGATGAGAGAAACATCATTAATTTATAAAATGAATTTATAGATATTTGCTTTTTATTTTTTTAAATTAAAAGCTGAATGCCAACGAATGGCAAAATGCTCAGACAAGAATTCGTTTTAATCATATGAAGTGTGCATGTACATATTTTCAAGAAAAAAATCCTTATATTTCATTGGTTAGGGAAATATCTGACGTCTTCATGGAAACTAGCACATAAAACATCGATCAAAATCATTAATGAAGCCTGGAAATCGTGATATTTCGGACTATGTGAAGAGACTTTGGTAAAATATTGATCGAGAAATTTAATTCTTCCATTTGGAAAAATGAAATAAATGGAGATAACGAACAGTATTCAAGCTCAAACATCCATTAAACAAAATAGGAGCAGAGCAAACAAGGACCCCAAAAACATCATAGGTGGGATCAAGTGCCATGCGGGAGTGAGCATCCCCTGCCGATCTGTCACGCCCACCGTGTGCTCCTTGTCATTATCGGGGAATAATAAAAAAAAATCCGTATGAATTTTACTGAATGATAAATTGCATTTGCTGACAAGGTCATTGTATTCACCATAGTACTAACTAAATGAAGACTTTAAACATGTTAAACGAGACTGTCAATTTTCTGTTTGTCGCGAAACTTTCAAGAACATGCGGTTGAACTTGCGCATTCAGCAGTTACGGACAGGAAATAATGAGCAGATGAATCATTCCTTGTAGATCCACATGGTGTAGACCATTTTAAAAACGCATTATACCGTGTTATAGTATCTAAGCATATAATAGGCTTAGTAGGGGGCCTGCAGTGTTATACTACAAGCTATGCATGCATGTTATTTTTTTTCATCGGGCACGGGGTTTATAAAATAGACATCACAGATTGTTCTTGAAGGACTGACTGCGTACTGCTGAGTAGTTGAAATGTCAATAAGGAGACGAAATAGCTTTTATAGAAGTTTTAAAGATGCATGTCCAGAATTTGAAGAAATGCTTTTGGACAGGGGAGCAACTGCAGCTGCACAAAACAAATGGGTTTTCGAAATCGCTTGGGAAGTGGCCAATAAAGGTAAAACATGGGTTGTCCTAATTTGTAGATTTCAGGTCATACGTCAAAAACTGACCTAGAAACGAGTGCATGTACAGGTCATGTAAAGCGTGTGTCTATATAGATGTTCATTTCTTTTTTTTAATGTTAAAATTATATTGAATGACAGATATTTTAACGCCATGTCGGAGATCACGTTAGCATGTGTTCCCTATATAAGGAAATAAAATTTATATACTAAGTACATCTATTTTTACATTTAAATAGATCTGTGTGGGTTTTTTAAAAAATGATTACATGAAGGTATTTAATATGAGGGCTTATATACTATGTAATATGTGTTAATTTGCCTTAATAAATTGAAATTTATGATCATTCACCAGTTATTCACTTATTTTCCTGTTATTCAATTTACTGTTACACTCCTTTTTCTTCAGTGATGATAGGATATACCGTAAATTAAGTCAGATGTTGCACAGTTTAAACAACTTTTTACAATTATTTTTTTAGCATGTATAATGGTAAAAGAAGCACATGATCACTTATTACAGAACTGCTTGTGCTTGCATTTATGAATGTATTTCAGTGTGTAAGGAACTTTATGATGAAAAGTGTACTGTAATTGAATAAATTACATGGCAATTTACAACTCACGGTCATAGCAATCATTTACTTTCATTCAGTTTACACTATAATGAATATATAAGAAATTTCTTTCTATCTCAGAGAAAATCTTTTTTTCTATTACCTTTGTGTATAAATTTGATGTACAGTTTGTGCATACTACTAGTGTTTGAACTTGAACAAGACCGCTAGAACGAATGTGGGGGGAGGGGGTCTTTAAGTGTGATATTTCTCCTTTTGCACCATATGAAGTACTGGTATTTAGATGACCATCATGCAATGACAAGATGGGAAACCCTTTACTATAATCAACATGATCAACGTACATGTACAGACAGAGTGTATAATAAAAGGAAATATTAAAACAAACACTTGAAAATATCATTTATTAAGTTTCAAAACAACATGAATGTAAATATTAATTTAAAAAAAAAAAATCTGCTAGTTTTTGCTTATCATCTGAAAGAATGACTTCATGAATGCACCACAACAACCATATTTGTGCCCTAGTTAATAAATCAAAGCATTTCCATTTCTCTTTGTTTTCTCTGTGATAACTCGTTGAAAGTTAGTTGATTTGATTTCTTGGTCATTCTACCGACATGTAAATTTCTCCAAGCGATAGTCTGTCTTTGTATCTGATTCTAATGAGGCCTCATATGCATGTAAAATGTAAATCTCAAGTGGCTGTCTTTGTGTTTGAAGTCAGACGAATGGGGCCAACAATAAAAAATGATTTGTTTGATGAAATTCGACCCATCCGTCAAAAATGTCCCTACCCAATCATTTTTTTCAGCACATTGACTTTTTACTTCTTTTCATTAATTTCCATAGAAACAGAAATTTTCATTTTATAGCTAAGGTATATAATTTATGTCTATAGGATGCTTTCAATTGAAAGTTTTTCTAGCAGTAAAAATAAAGTTCTTAAAGCTATCCAATGTGTAATGAAAACATGAACAATAAATTTCTGAGTCTTCAATTTCTATGACAGTTTTCAATTTGTTCAATACTGCTTTACAAAAAAAAAAAAATAAAAAACTTGAAAAATGTGGGTTGGAGTACATCAAACAAAAATATTTTTCATGATGGCCTGGGCCAATCTCTACCCAGAGTTATCGTTCCACTTATACCTCTGTCAACGTCTAAAAAGTGGTACGGAAACAGAGGGATGTGATTTTTTTTCAAATGTTTAAATTGGCCCACAAGAAGATTAACACATTTACATTTCTATATGTGTGTCAATACTGCAAGTTGTTTGTCTATATATAACAACTAAGTCATGTTGATATTTATCAGCAATGCGTTTTAAATTTTTCACGTTCGTAATATCCTGCCGAGAAATAATCCCTTATAAGATATGGTGAAAAAGCGATATCTGATTCTAGTTTTCATAAATAAACTTTCTTTTAACATGCTAAGCAAGAATATAGAAATTTTACATTCATAATTTATGATGCAATAGGTAAAAGTAAGTTTTGCGAAGAATCTTGGCATTTAGACATTGACAGTGGTGTTGTAGCGAAGCGAAGGACAACTCTTGGTAGAGATTGGGCCAAGGCAGGGACTATTGAAATTGACATTGGAGGCCTCATCTAATTAAAGTCTATTAGTCTACCTATTTAAAATCTATGAAATGGAAATATAAGGAATATAGTTAGTAGACTGCCAGGGACATCAAAATAGTTGGAAAATGGAAACATGGAATAATTTATGCATAATGTGCTTTGCCCATTATCATGATTATGAAAATTATACCAAGTTTCCAACTGTCTGTGATGCCCTAGCTAGTTAGTAATTCCTTAATTATCCTTTTAACTACCGTTGATGTCCCTGGCATACCCAACAAACTAGACATTGATTCCTTAAAAAATAGCTGTGAGTCAGAGGAATGGTAACTCCTTGCTCCCATACCTATACCCAAAAACCCTCTCTCCATACACTTGACGACAGCCACATTCATGAAAAATGAGAGAGTTGGACCAAGTTACAGATATCATAAGTGGTATACATTCATTCTGCTCTATTGACTTCTTGTCAGACTTGTTTATTTTTTCGTAAGTCTGAATTTGTACATATTATAATATTTGATGTGTATACCTAGGTAAACATTGATAGAGGATTAATGGGGTATTTATTAAAATACATGAAGGTGCATATAGAATATGGTCTTATGGTGCATGGCTATAAATAGAACATACAACTATCATTTTGAAATTAAACATTTTTTAAAGTCTATTTTTCATTCATTTTAGAAAATTTCAAGGCATTTACTTAATTATTGGCAGTCTTGGGAGCATTTGAAAGGGAAATTAAACCATTAAAAACACATTATTTAAAATGTTTTATATACATGTATTTAATAATTTTTAATTGTTTTCATGGTTTTCATGAAAATTCAGAAAACTGTAGACGAAGAAAAGTAACCAATTGGTATCATTTTACTTTTAAAAATGCATGTACAAATATATATTTTTGTAACCCTTTTAAAACACCCCCACCTTGTAAGATTGTTATAATATTATAAGTATACATGTATTCATTTATTATTTTAGTGGGAGGCATCTATACTGTGATCAAATCTAAGGCGCCGGTCAGTGTAGGAGAGTTGGGGGAGCAGTACTGTTTACTGGGGCCCTATAACGAGGCGTGTGTAAGGACAGAGGTGGAGATCCTGGAGCCCTCCCACTATGTGTATAGACAGACATTACAGGCAATGAGGGATGCTGGTATCAAGGTATGTTGAGGTAAAACAGATCAGTGTTGTTACATGCAGGCAGGCGGTGCATCTGGCAGGGATCTGATATCAGTTGGGTTTGCAATATTAATTTCTTAATTTAAACAAAGCCACAAGGTATGGTAGTGAAATTACTTGAAGCGTTATCATATTTCATTTTGTAAAATAAGTTTGCATAAATTATTGACATACAAAGATTTTTTTCATTTAAAATATAAATGAATAAAAAAGGTTACACTTCAGTCTGATAGCAAGGGTTCTAATAAAATTTATTGTTTTCTGAATGCTCAAATAATGATCATTGACACTTGAGGTCAGGTTAAGGACAGGTACAAAATTTTTTTAAATTTTGGTCTCTGAAAAAGAAGGCAGGACAATGTAAATTACTGGCTTTGATTGTTTAAATTCTCTTCAGACACAGTGATTTTGAAGTTTTTCTTTTAGATAAAGATAAAACATTACTGGATAGGGGATTGAGAATGTATTTAATGTGTATTTTAGTGTGTTTCACCAGTTTGATTTTCTCTCATATACCAGATTCATCTATTAGATGGGATTATTCTATTGCTGCTCTGTCTTTTTAAATCAATAGAAGATATAGATAAAATACATCATTGACGGAGATGTTTTAAAGTAGAAACTCAGAAATGGAGGTGTATTTTAGTTTGATTATGCAATTTAAGAGCAGAAGTAGTGTTGCATGTTTAGGTATGCAATTGCATAAAACGTATATGTATACCTGGTGCTGAGTTGTAAACTGCTTTTTGTGTTGTTCACAATATCTCAGGGATTTTGTAAAGGATCTCAGTAAATATACATGTAGCTCCAGATATTATATATCATTACCAAGATTACAAGCAGATTTCTGAAACCAATGAATCCCAACATCATGAACATACTAAAACATCACCAACATTTAGTACCAATGACTTCTTTTTGCATATCGATCCAGAAGACCCAAAACTTGAACATCAAACTTAGGGATGGGTATCGCCAAAAATTTCGTATCGCGATATATCACGATTTTTTCCCACAATATCACAGTAATATCATGATATTTTTTAAAGCAGTTTTTACAACGATTTTATATGAAAAGTCATTTTTTTTCTAAAAAATATGATAGAAAAACAAAGTTTTACGTTCTTGAATTTTTTATGTATATAAAATCAATTATGTATGGACGGTAAGATGCCGTTCTTTTCACTTTTACAACATTTTTTTATACTTTCTGCAATTGTAATTTGAAAGATTGAACAAATAAATGAATAATTTCTGGACTTCATAATATGTACCTAAAAACCGGTATTTAGGTCTCCGTATCACGATGCGTATCACGCAACAAAAAATCGCGATATACCGGTATACTGATAATATCGTACATCCCTAATCAAACTATATGATCTATCAAAATAAGATATCTAAACTGATCAATTTTGATTTGTACTGCCTCACTTGATCTTTATATCCGTGACACACTCTGAAAGTCCTTACAACATACATTTTTAGGTCACCTGAGTAAACTCAGGTGACCTATTGCTATCTGTTTTCGTCCGTCGTCGTGCGACGTGCGTCGTGCGACGTCCATCGTGTGTTAACATTTGAACATTTTCAGCTTCTTCTCTGCAACCACTGAACCAATTTCAACCAAATTTGGCACAAAGCATCTATGGGTGAAGGGGAACAAAAATTGTAAATTTCATGATCCCTGCCCCCCTGGGGCCTGAGGGGTGGGGCCAAAACCACTAAAATTAATGCAATCTTTAGAATTCTTCTTCTTTACTCCTGGACATCAAGCGGTCAAACTGTTTGCATGATTGTAATCCGCATTGAGTCCTCTACCAAAATTGTGAAATTCATGGCCTAGGGGTCAGGGGTTCTAGTGCTAGGGTGGGGCTAAATAAGTATACAGTGAAAATGCATTATTTTTTTTAAAAATCTTCTTCTCTGCTCCTGGGTATTAAATAAACCAACTAAGTACATGGTTATGATGAGCAAGAGTGCCTCTACCAAAATTGTGAATTTTATGGCCCCAGGGTCAGGGGTTCTGGTGTTAGGGCGGGGCTCTGTTAATTATATAGTGAAAATACATGAATTCTTTGAAAATCTTCTTCTCTGCTCCTAGGTATTAAATAAACTAACAAAGTGCATAGTTATGATGAGCAAGAGTGCTTTTACCAAAATTGTGAATTTTACGGCCCCAAGGTCAGGGGTTCTGGTGTTAGGGCGGGGCTCTATTGATTATATAGTGAAAATACATGAATTCTTTGAAAATCTTCTTCTCTGCTCCTATGAATTAAATAAAATAACTAAGTGCATAGTTATGGTGAGCAAGAGTGCTTTTACCTAAATTGTGAAATTAATGGCCCCAGGGTCAGGGGTTCTGGTGTTAGGGCTGGGCTCTATAGATTATATCTTAGTGAAAATACATGAATTCTTTGAAAATTTTCTTCTCTGCTCCTAGGTATTAAATAAACTAACTAAGTGCATAGTTATGATGAGCAAGAGTGCTTTTACCAAAATTGTGAATTTTATGGCCCCAAGGTCAGGGGTTCTGGTGTTAGGGCTGGGCTCTATTGATTATATGGTGAAAATATATGAATTCTTTGAAAAATTTCTTCTCTGCTCCTAGGTGTTAAATAAACTAAGTGCATAGTTATGATGAGCAAGGATGCCTCTTCCAAATAAATTGTGAATTTTATGGCCCCAGGGTCAGGGGTTCTTGTGTTAGGGTGGGGGTCTATTGATTATATGGTGAAAATACATTAAATCTTTGAAAATCTTCTTCTCTGTCTCTGGGTATGAAGCAGATGAACTACCTATAAAGTTATGAAGAGCAAGGGTCCTAATCTTGCAGAAATGTGAATTTCAAGACTTCAGGGTCAGGGATACCATAAAGGGGGGGGCTGTACTTATATGCTGAAAATGAATGAATTGTTTGAAATCTGCTCCTTGCAGATATTAATCAAATATTTTTGAAAAGCAAGGAAGCCTTTTCAAAAATTGTGCAGTGTGTGGATCTAGGCCTAAGGGTCAGGGGTTCATGTGTGGTAAGGGCACTACTGATTAATATTGCTGAATATTACTGATTAGTTGAAATGCATTTTATGTTCCCCTGACCTGCCTATGGGTATTAAATAATCAAGCTAAGCAATGCTAAGTGTATTGTTATGATGATCAATTGTGCCTCTTTCAAAATTGTGAATGCCATAGCATCTTGCTTGAAACATGAATCAAATTCAATAACTGGAAAGTTGTTGCATAATGCTCAGGTGACCTATAAGGCCCATGGGCCTCTTGTCTTTGTTTTCTATTCTTTATAAAGAAACACATACAAGCATGTGAGTTGCATTGCTTATTAAGTAATTAGGAAATGATTTAGGAACAAAGCAGTTATTTTGTGAAAAAATAACATTTAAATAGGAATCATACTGTGACAATTCAAAATGTGCATCAAATTTTTGATCAATAATTCAATTTAAACTGATGCATCTTGCTGCACTGCAGCCTCCAAGTAGATTGATCATCCTTAGGGGACCCGACAAAATCACATGAATTCCCACCAGTTGAATTTTCAGACAGTAACGAAGGGATTAATCGTGATATTTATTATTGCATCCCAGGTTCACTTTGGTCGCTGGCTGATAGACGGATATCCTAAAGTCATTCTGTTTGATATCGGCTCGGCAGCATGGAAACTTGATGAATTTAAACATGAACTCTGGGAGAAGGCTAGTATAGGGGTTCCCTGGCATGACCGTGAGTCCAATGATGCTGTGATATTCGGAGCACTGGTGGCCTGGTTTATTGGAGTGGTAAGTAGTTCATTGGTTATCCTTGACCTTTTTTAATGAATCAGATTGTAGATTAGAGTCTTGTTTGAATGCAGTTGCAGAGTTTATATTCACTAGCTTTTAATGTTGAATGTAAGTTTTTGTTTTAATGTGATTCTTGCAAGATTTTTTTTAGTCAAGTGTGGTTTCACCTAATACTGGTGAAGAGGCTCAAATGTAGACCTTTACTCAACACTCAGGGCCATCATACACTGAGATTATATTGTATAACATGGGTTGGGATAGTTTATGCTTTATAAACTGCTTTGTGGTTTACATAAAAAAGTGTAAACTGTTCCAACCCATGTTATACCAGGATAACTCTGATAGCTATTGAATTCATTGCTTAAAATTTAATTCTCCTTCATTTGAATGAAGACAAAATGACAATTTTTCCATCAAAAATGACTTCAAATTTAGCACATTTTAAAAGTAACGTCAAGCAGAGTAATACATTTTTGATGCAACTTATTGTGATGTAAGTAACTTGTGTTGAACGATATGAACTAAATCTTTTATCCAAACAAATGAGATGTTGCAACCAAAATTGAATTATATACTTATACATGTACAATAAATATTTTTGAATTATTTTCTAGTTTCGTTCCAACCTGTCTGACAGTCCAATTGTTGTGACTCATTTCCATGAGTGGTTAGCCGGGGCAGGTCTTATTTACCTCAGAACCAGGAAAGTTGATTGTACCACTATCTTTACAACTCACGCCACCCTCCTGGGGAGGTATCTGTGTGCTGGGAGCTCAGACTTCTACAATAATATTGCTAAGGTATGACAGACTAAGGGTAAGATACACTGCACTTGATGTTGGGCATTTCATAAAGATATACAGGGTTGGAAATAGCAGTCTTTAGAATAAAAACTACTAATGTAAGAATAGACTTAAAAGATTTTTAAATGTATGCGTAGTAGAAGTAAGATTTATTACCAATTAAAAAAATTAGATGATAATTTCTCAAGCTTAACACAATCCTGTTGTTACATAAAATGTATTCTTCAACAAGTTACAAGTAAGTTATGGAAATATTTTTTTATGTAGTTTAACTTGGACAAAGAGGCAGGTGATCGTCAGATTTACCACCGCTACTGTATGGAGAGGGCAGCAGTACACTGTGCTCACGTGTTTACCACCGTGTCTGAAATCACAGGAGTGGAGGCTGAGTACCTACTGAAAAGGAAACCAGGTAGGTCAATATGTCATAGTTCAGACAAAGGTCACTGTGGACAATCTGCACAGCTGCATGAAGATCGTAGCAGCTATCCTAGCAGCTAAGTGTTAGATATCTATCTCTGTTGAATGAACAGCTAGCTTAGCTGCTGAGTGTCAGATTCAGTGGATAAAAATATATCATAAAAACTTACATTTGGTTAAGAAAAAAAAGGGGGGAGCTACAGAGTAGCTACACTGTTAAACGCACCCCAGATGGTAAGGACTAGGGGTTAGGTCAGTTAGTCATGTTTTAGAGGTCACTTTTTGAACAATCACTTTGGGTGTTTATGAAGTGCATAAACTTGCACATACTCAATCTGTTGTTAGATAGAACTCTTTATAGCTGGCTATTTCTTTCCTTTAGATGTGATTTTACCCAACGGTTTGAATGTTGTCAAGTTCAGTGCCATCCACGAGTTCCAGAATCTCCATGCCATATACAAAGAGAAAATTCATGACTTTGTCAGAGGACATTTTTATGGGTAATGGAGAAGTATTGTGCTATACATGTATTACTGTAGTTGTCTTGCAACAGTGACAAACAACTTTACTGTTATAGAGCACAATAATTTTTCAAACAAAATTAATAGTAATTAATTCAAGGAATTTTTCATGATACAGTAAAACACGTTTGTCGAACACGGATTTATTTCACGGATATGAATCTCCCCGGCAAAATTCTTAACAAATCTTTACGGTTATAACATTTATTTACGGATACTTGTCCCGTTGAGGTTAAATATAATGAATTTTATAAGAAAATGTGAATAATTGAATTTTATACATTTGTATATAAAATTCAATTCATAATAAAACCTTAGTTATCGAAGGTGTGTTTTGTAATATTTTTTTCCAGAACTATTATGACTTATGACCTAGACAATTTTGACATTTATTTACTTGCAAGAAAATGTGACATTTTATACTTGTATTTTTTTCAGACATTATGACTTTGACCTAGACAAGACCCTGTACTTCTTCTCTGCTGGGAGATATGAATTCACCAATAAAGGAGCTGATATGTTTATTGAATCTTTAGCCCGGCTGAATTATTATCTCAAGGTATCATGATTTCAAAATAAGTGCTGCTACCCTAACAAAAGAAATCTGTCAATTCTATTAAAGTTTACAGATCTGAAAACAATGTCATGAATATAAAAATAAAAGTTTTAAAAAATTGATGAAAAACATTGCAATATACATGTAATTGCTAAAGAAAACAATTATATTTACAAATGATCTGATTAAAACAAGAAATTGCAAAACTACCTATCACTTTGTCACTTTATTTGCACTAAGGATTTATTAAGCTTAATGCATGATTACACAAGTAGAGGAAATTCTATCAAGTTTTATTCCTTTGTTATCATAGGAAGCCAACAGTGAGACGACTGTAGTAGCATTCTTAATCTTCCCAACCAAGACCAGTAACTTCAATGTAGAGTCACTGAGAGGTCAAGCCATCTCAAAACAACTTAAGGACACTGTTCACCATGTACAAACACAGATCGGCAAGAGGATTTTCGAACAGTGTCTAAGGTAGAGTCAGAAAAGGGAGAGTACTGCGGATAAAACACACAAAAAATGAAAACAAGTTGGAAGATAGCGAATTACATTTCTCAAAATATATGTTTTTAAGATTTATGAATTGATTACAAATCCTACCTTTAAAGTGAAGACTAAGTTTAATGAAATTATTACAAGAAAAAATAATCATATTTTAATAATAATCTGTTTAATATGATGATTTTCTCTACTAAATAATAAATTCAACAGTAATCTCCAGTTTACCTTAATTGCATTGAATTCTATTTTTTTTCAAAGGGGGAAAATTCCCTCTGGAGATGAGATTCTAGAACAAGAAGATATAGTGAAATTAAAGAGATGTATCTATTCTGCTCAGGTAAGCATAAGCTACACAATGCCTTTGTCAAGTTAAGAGATATTGTAGTTCAGTCTGTATTTCATTGAATTTCTGTATCTATTACTTACAGAGGAACAGCCTGCCACCTATATGTACTCACAATGTTAACGAGGATGCTAATGACCAGATTTTAAATGCCCTCAGGAAATGCCAGCTCTTTAACAGGAAAGAAGATAGAGTTAAGGTGAGATGTGTTCATAAGAAAGTAATTTAGATTTTGAAAGGGACTGCATTTGTAAATTAATATTTGTTTGCTTATGATATTTTTTTTCCATTTAGAATTTTAGAACGTTGAAAGTTCAGACTTTCTAAAATCTGTACTAATTTTGCAGGTTGTGTTTCACCCTGAGTTTCTGAATTCCACCAATCCATTGTTTGGGTTAGACTATGAGGATTTTGTGAGGGGTTGTCATTTAGGTGTGTTCGCTTCGTACTATGAGCCCTGGGGATACACACCAGGTCAGTATTGAGTTTCTATTGATAAATCAATCAGTTTCTGTTATTAAAAATGATCTATAAATCAATGTACAGTATACCGGTATGCTGACTAATACTGATTTTGTGTAATTGTCTTCTAACTTTCAGTTAAGAATCAATATTTTCAAATTATATTTGCAGCCCCTTTAACTTCCACTCTGATGAAAAATTCATTATATTCTAATCTACCTAATTTGCATACATGCACATGTTATTGCAGTTATTTAAAATGGTCCAAATCAGAGATATTCAGTTATGAAAGGAAATTTAAAAAGTATGAAGATATATTTTGATAAATGTATATGTGTTGCTTTATTTAACAATCAGTGTACTGTAAAATCACTTATTTCAGTGAGGTCAATTTTTCATGGTTTGGGGAAGAAACATTAGTTTATGAGGATTAAATTCTGTGGTTGAAGAAGTGAACATTAATTTGTGATTTGAAATTTAAGGATATTAATTGGGAAACTCTTATACAACAAAAACCTCCTTGAAATAATCACCTAAAAATGAGTGATTTCATAAAATACATGGGATATGAATCAAATTTAAATAATAATTATACAGGTAATTCATTGTATATTACAATATGGTCAGATTTGTGAACTTAATATTTACCTAATATAAATGTCTCTTGTGAATTTCTTTTATGCGGATTTCTACAGCGGAGTGCACCGTGATGGGAATTCCCAGTATTTCCACCAATCTCTCAGGGTTTGGGTGTTTTATACAGGAACACGTTACAGATCCCAAATCTTACGGCTTGTATATAGTCGACCGTCGATATAAAAGTCCAGAGGAATCGGTCCAACAGCTTACTCAGGTAACCATGGAAACAGAAACAACGCATCTATTTTTTTTTCATCCCTTTTGTTTCTTCTTTACAGCATGCAGACTTCAGTTTTACCTTTGGTTTTGCTTACTTATATTATGTTTATCAAGACGATGCTATGGATGGGAGCTTTGATGAATTTTTTTTTGCATGTGTTCTTACTAACCATGTCATGTTTAATGACTTTATTCTCAGATACTTTCCTTCACAAAAAGAAATACTATAAAGATGTTGATCCCAGTTTGATTTTCAATGTAAGGAAAGTATTACATTCAGTAAAATTTTGTTCATTGAGTTCTTACCTGTAAAGTATCTGTGAATAAGTCAGACCTATAGTTATAAGGCCCCTTACTTAGTCATTAAGCATGCTGTCTGTGTACCATTTGCCCTGTTTAATAAAATTGGGTGATGCCATTATGCTAGCTATAAGGCCCCTAACTTAGTAACGAGTTCAGTGACTGTACTTTATGCCCTGTTTGATAACAGCGGAGTGTACCGTGATGGGGATTCCCAGTATCACGACCAACTTGTCAGGCTTTGGCTGCTTCATGGAGGACCACATAACTGACACTCAGTCATACGGTATCTATGTGGTCGATCGACGTCATTCAAGTCCGGAGGAATCGGTTAACCGACTGGCTAAGGTAGACAATCTGTCCCTGTCTAGAGACACTGTGTCTGTCTTTGTAGTGTCTTTTGGTGCTTTGTTTTATGTCTTGCGTCTTTTGCTCTGACACCTGAGCTGTAGTTGTTAATGAGCTTTTTTTTACCAATGTTTTTTGTTTTATGTCTATTTTTGCATGCTTTTATACAATAAGTCATGTATTTAATTATATAGTCCTGTGTTTCTGTCTATACCTTTCTTGTTTTCTTTTTCTCCATAACCACTAATTAACTGTAGACAAACTAGGTAACTTATTAACTTTCAATTTATATGACTACTGGGATATCTCGAGATTTTTTTTTTTGGTCCCATCATGTTCTAGAAAAAGAGGTTGACTGTACTTTGCTTTTTAAGCATATTAAAACACAAATACATAAGTGTTTAAAAAGAATAGACATTAATTCATGGGAAAATGTAGTTTGGGTATGTTTTAAATTACACAATTAAGCTTCCTCAAAAGAACAAACCTTGTAAAAAAAAATTTAAATGGGCATCAATACACTGAATTCATTACCCTTGGCTTAATTTAAAGGGTTTCATTGAAAAGCTTTATTGCATATTTGCACATGAATAAAGTTGGACGGGTTTTACACGGGTGAGCTTTGTGGCTTTCGCCCCTCTAGATCTGTTCTTACCACCGACAACACGTTCTGTGTGTTAGCTCACTTGTGACTATTTGTTAAGATTTGCAATTTTTGCTGTTAACTGTGTGGACACTATATGTGCATTATTTCATTCTTCTGGAGCATTTCTGCTGTTAATAATGTAAAATACTATCAAAATTTATAGTTAATGGATTCTCCCAGAATGAAATAGTACCGGGTAGGTATTCTACTTTTTCCAAGTTGAAAGTTTCTGTGCTGAACATAAAATGCTAGCTAGTGCAAAAATTTTAGAGCAAAGGGAGAGAAAAATACAGATAATCATTATAGAATGTTCCATATTATATTTGCTTTCTATTTGGTAGCATCACAGGTTGAAATTAAAATCTCATCTTTTTCATCTTATAATGTTGATATATCTAAAACTGGAGTATATACTCAATGATTTCATGAGTTTTTTTGTCACATTTTACAAAGACGTAGTAAATCTGACAGATTGATTTCTTTTTTCAGAATATGTTTGATTTTACCTGTCTATCCAGGCGACAGCGTATTATCCAAAGAAATCGTACAGAGCGACTCAGTGATCTACTGGACTGGAGAAACCTCGGGGTGGTATGTTATCTGGATCTTTTTAAGATGATCATACACAAATAAACTTATTTGATCATGTTGTGGAAAAGCACTTCTTTAAAACATTTCATTAGTCTATGTTATTTATGTGTAAAAAAATTTTCTCTAACTGTTTTATTTATTTATGAGTAATTAGGTTTATACATGAAGTTTTCTATCCAAGAATTAAGTTCCTCAAAAAGAAAAAAAAAATCAGCATTATAACTTATCAAACAAATTTTTACAGTACTACAGAAAAGCTCGCCAGATCGCAATAGCTCGAGTATATCCAGACCTTGCTGGCAAGGAGGAGGAGTTCCTACAGAGTAAAAAGTTCAAGTACCCCAAACCCGCTTCTGAACCCTCCTCTCCGTCAATGTCCAGAAGTTCCACCCCCGCCCCCTCAGAGCATGGGGATGATGACGACGAGGATGAAATTGATGAAGATGAAGAAAATGCCGAGTTAAACTCCAATCCCGAGGCTGACAGACCGATGTTTAAATGTTAGAGGAGAACTTCCTTCCTATTTGTTTGTGCTTGGAAGGAAGGGATTTTCCTTAATCAGGTTTTAGAGGTGTGATACTATGGTTTTTGCTTTACATGATATGTAATGCCATTAGTTTGTTATATGCCTAATGAGTTGATCTCATTGTTGAAAAGCTTATGTATGCTTCACATTTCCATAAATTTTTAGTGACAATCAATAATTATCACAAAAGCTAAGATGTCATAAGAAACAGACTGTTACATAGAACTGAAAAAAATGAAATTTTTACTAAGAATCAAAGGATTTCTTTATATAAACTTTGAAAAGCTCAACATGCTTTCATAAAGCAGATACATGTAATATTTATGTGTACAGAAATTAACTTCTTTTAGCCTTATATCTTTTTATGTACACTGTTAAATTCATTATCCCTACATAGAGAGAATTCTGTGGAAAATTATACATGTTATCCATTAATACAGCAGCAAAATTTTAGAAGGTTGTATATAACACATTATGCATATGATGGGCTTTTGAAACTGCCAAAAAAAAAGCAAAATAGAATAAACAAGTTACTACCTTGCATAATAAAAATTCAATTTTTTTAAAAATAAAAGATCAAAAGGGCATATATAAATGATGACCAGTCATTTTAATACTAGTGACAGCATTCCATTGCAAATAATTTTTTATGGATGTCACAAAAATATTCACATTTCTGAGTCTTCTCAAGCTTTTGATCCTTTGAATTAATGTAGTAAGTGTGCAGGTATTACATTTTTAAATTTATGAAGATTATGAACAAATGGCCACTTATTGGAACATTTAAAACAGGATACATTTTGATACAGATAATAAAAAAATTAACATAAACTTTTGTGGTATTTTTTTTATCATCATAATATAGCCAAATTAAATTCAGAAGAAATAATTTGGTTTAAAAAAAAATTATGATGATGAATTTCAAAATTATTTAAAATTTCAAGCTGCAAAATGGTGTCACTAAGCAAAATTTAGCAATTTACCATAAAATACACTTTATATTGGCTATTGTCCTATCTCGTTAAGTGACAAAGTAAAATTGAAATGTTGAAATCAAGAATAGTTTCATCATTTCACATGCCAATAAAAAAATATATGTTCTTTAAATTGAATCTTGAATGATGTAGAATTTATTTTAACTCTTTGAATAACCGTACTTCGCTGTTTATATAAATATTTTATCTCATTTATCCCATACTGATTTCAATTTCAGTACAGTTTTTGTGCCATGGATACATTTATATTTACAATATTGCTGGAACATTTAATTTTTTTTTCATTTGTGCTGTTTATTTACTTGTCAGTATTGATGTTTCATCTGAATACACATCTTTCAAAAATGGTTCTGCTTGAATAGCAAAATGCAAGACATGTATAATAAAATGTTAAGCGATAGTCACTTACGGTATTTGTGTCAGTAGTGTTTGAAATAAACATGCAGTGAACCACCCGAGACGTAGAAATTTTGCAGCGGATGAACTTCGCTTGTTTCATCCCCTGGTTGGACATGTCGAAATTCTGATGATTAAATTTCATATATTTCATTTTAAAACCTCTTAATTACATTTAATAGAATTGGTTGCAAGATGCAACAAGCCAAGAAGAAGTATTCACCAGTCTATTGATTTAGGATCGAAGTTATGGTGACCTGTTTTCAGTCACATAATTGTTAAAAACAAAATAAGCACAATAAAAAACACTTGCCCAGGATATGTTTTTTTTTTCTTGGACTCTGAGATCTTTAGCAGGAGCTGACAACTTTTTACTAGCTAGCAGTTAACACGTCCTGCATGTCTGGCTAATTTTACTAGGAGTTAAAAACACTGGCATTAGCTACACTGAAATTTGCTGTAATGACTCAAAAAATTTTATGTTATCTATTTCTTGAGAAATGTCCATTGTTAAGTTTTTTCAATAATTTTAAAAGCTCTGTGATGAATTTGTGTAAATATGTTCTCATTCATAAAAGTGTATACAAGATGCAAGTATTTGGTGAAGATCTACTGGATATAGATTATTCATAATTATTTAGAGAAAGCAGTGTAATATTACAAGTGTGTGTGCATAATGAATTGCCTTTGTTTAGGGAAAAGGGATGGGGTTAAAATTTATTTTATATTTTAGGCATAAATTGAATATTTTCTCTGAAAGAAGGTAGTCCAGATGAACTTTATTCAGGGAAACATAGAGTGATAGATACTTAATATTGAATCCATGTAGTGCTTGATACAATTCTTACTGTGGAAACTGTGAGAAATAAATACAAAATTTTGTCTAAATTATTATGGAGCATGCTAACATTATGCATTTATTCACGTTTGAGCTTCCTTTCATTGTTAAAGAAATATATGGTAATTTTTTAACCCCACAGTCATAAATTTTTGAATTTGAAATTTAGATTGAATTTAGATTGAAATTTAATAATTGAATTAAGTTGACCAATCTCAATTGTTGATGGAAACCTGAGTTAATATTGAGTAACTAATTTGTAGTATAGATCATCTCTGTATAAACTTTTATTTTAGCATTAATTGTAATGTAAAATTGGTTTGGTATAAGTGTCTCTTAGCTGAGGTTATCATATGCCAATTGCAGTTTTGTTTTGTTTCATGTGCTGCATCAACAAATCAAATACATGTAGAACGATCCGAAATAATTGAAGATTATACTCTGTCAAAAAACTGATGTAGTGCTAGTCTACAAATGTTCTGTGAATTTTTATAAGCTGTATGTATAGACCTTATGAATTTTAATTACATATACTTGTATTACCGCCGATTTATCTCCCTTGGAGTTGGGTTTATATTGTTATTGCTTGGCCAGTATATATTGTGGTCATGCCGGAATGTTGTGTGTAGCCCAGTGCAGCTAAAACAATAAAAATTATAAGAGCGTGACTTTCCTAATTAAAACAAAGATTTTTGTTTTAACTACCTAGTCCAAATTTTGAAACCTATGACTGTAGAGGTATGATTAAACGGAAAACAACATATAACAGATATCTATATTATCACATATTTGATTTTTATATGCAATACAATAATGAATTGCATTCTAATACGCATAAATTGTGCTTTCATAATATATCGTGATAAAGTGGACTTGTTCCCCTTTGCTTCTTTCACATAATGGAAACAATTGTTGGTCACTTAGGTAAATTTTATAAACATGGCTGTCAAATATTATAATTGTTCTGCTAGATTTTCAAACCTGTTTGTTGCTTGCTATCTGTACTATAGTGATAGTGGTGCAGACACACATTATAATAATGTTTTAAGAATATTAAATTGTATCCATATCTATTTGTTTTGTTCTCTTTTTAGTACAGTTTTCATAGAAATAAGTGCATGTGAAGTCAAAATTTATATAATATTGGAACCCGATCCCACCGCTGATCATTCTTTATAGGTCCTTGTTTGATCTGCTCTTGCTTTGTAATATGGCCTTTTGAACAGTAATGTTTTCATTGAAAACTTTTCGAAATTGTTTGCAACTATTTTGTGTTATTTTTTTATTGTTCGTGTCGTTGGTCATTTTTAGTGCTTTATGTAAATTTCCATCCGTGACCTTGTATCTACTTGGTAGATCCGACATTTAGGATATACAGTGTTGTTGGTTTTTTAGTGCTTATTATATATATATATATATATATATATATATATATATATATATATATATATATATATATATATATATATATATATATATATATATATATATATATATATATATATATATATATATATATATATTCAGTAGAATTGTATATATAACAAGGCAAATTAAGAAAAAAAAATATGTATATACATATATATATATGAGCATGATGATATAATTTAAATTTATATTTTAACATATATGACTGGTAATTATATTAAGAATTGTATAATTTAAAAAATTAAGAAGAAAACATAAATAGGTTTTGGTTCTGTGGTTTGACAATTGAAAAACAAGAGCAGATAAAATATCATGCAAATCGCTTTGTAGTTGCAATAAATTCTTGAACAAGTTTAAATATTGCAATATTTTGGTTGTATGTAAGATTATTGTCTCCATTTAAGATAAGTTGTAAAGATAAAGGCATTGGTAATTGCAAAGTATTAAAGTTTCTAGCTTTTAATATCGGCTTTTGTGTATTATCTACGGAAGCGTATTAGTACCACGCAATATTTTTTTAGTTGGTAATTCCAACTTTAAAGTTGGCTTTTCCAACTTTAATCATGGCTTTTCCAACTTTAAAGTGGGCAATTCCAACTTTAATCATGGCTTTTGCAACTTTAAAGTGGGTAATTCCAACTTGAATCTTGGCTTTTGCAACTTTAAAGTTGGTAATTCCAACTTTAATCTTGGCTTTTCCAACTTAAAAGTTGGTAATTCCATCTTTAATCTTGGCTTTTCTATCCAACTTTAATCTTGGCTTTTCTATCCAACTTTAATCTTGGCTTTTCTATCCAACTTTAATCTTGGCTTTTCCAACTTTAAAGTTGGTAATTCCAACTTTAAAGTTGGAAATAAGGATAATTCATCGTCTATTTGAAAAAAGTTGGTACAACAAACGTTGCAAATTCCAACTTTAATTTTGGCTTTTCCAACTAAATTTGAAATTCAAAGGAAAAGGTAAATTACTATATCCTTTCGCCTTTTAATGCAAAACTGTATTTAAGAAATTATGTTTAGCAAATTTTTTGTAGAAAGGGGGGGGGGGGGGGGGGGGGGGCGAAAGCAAAGCTTGACACTAACGCTAGCCCGCTGGCGTGGGACAACTGAAACTATAATGTCTTTAAACTTGCCCTGCAACTATCCAGTAAATACCAATTTACTATGCACTAAATAGGCCTAATTATAATTTACACACAATATATCTGATAATTGTTAAATGTATTTTCAAACATGTTTTATCATCATAATTATTATTTTTGTAAGTCAAAATGTTAACTTTAAAACAGATTATTATGAAATTTTTCGAATAGAAAAATGTAGTACAATCATAGAGTGACAAGAAACCCAAAATAACACATGCAGGAATATATGATATAAATACCCTCTCAGCAGTAAAAAAGCTTTCAAAGCCTTCGGCTGCATATATAGAACATGGTAAAAATATATATAGCCCTGGGAATATGGTTTTAAAGAGGAGTCCCTGGTTATGGTTTAAAACTTTAATAAATGCTTAATATAGACAAGAGCATTGAAATAAATTGCTGAGCACTTTTTATCTGTGTCAGTTTATTTTCACCCTGACCTTCACCATGTCCTTTGATATAACTTCCAGCTTTTAATTAGAAATCCTTATATTTCTGTTGGTCCTCTAATATAATTATAAACAGACTTTCAATCAACTCCGTAGATGACAGGATTTCAACCTAACATATCTAACATATGTTTTGTATTAAAGAATAAGCTTTAAAAATGAGACCGTTATTCGGTATTTTTATATATAGGATTAAACAAACGCTTATATTACATCCTTTAAATACACCAGTACTAAATGTATCAATTCTGTATAAATATATATATAGAACAAATTTTTTTCAGTTTTGGACACTACCTACAACCAACTACCAATACTATATACAGTCAATTCTCGAATTATCGCCATTTTCGCAATACCGCCACGATTTCCTAAGAACGTTTTTCCTGCTATATAAAATTCTTTTTATATATACCGCCATCCGCCACCCTGTTTTCAAAACAAACGTCCATTTTTAAGTGTCAATTATCTCGATATACCGCCACAGGTGCATGCGGTCAGTGAAGCACGGCTAATTGGTTGACGCTTTGTAAAGCATGCAAAGCCAGTCAAGGTACACGCAATTAAATAATTAAATTAGAATTAAATGAACAAAAATTTTTAATATGAACTGTTACAATGATGTCGTTCTGTTGTTTTGTTTAAAAAATCATTTAGTCTTAAAGGGTAGTTGTGAAAGTACGCCGAATACGATATTATTTTGATGATATCTGCTTTAAACAATGCAAAGTTTGCTTGAAAATAATTATACGGTATAAATTGTGAACGTTTCACTAAGAATGATGTCATAAACAATAAATTTATTCAAGAAACCATTTTACGTACTGTCAGCAATATATCACGACGATCGTCCCAGCATGTTTTTTTTTCAATATCAGACGTGCCGATTTACATGTACATAGATGCACATGTACTTGTCTTTTTTCATAACTGCACATTTTGTTTTAAAGGAATTGTACATAAAAAATTATTTAAAGTATTTTAAAATTTAGAAATATCTTTTATATACATGTACATGTACTTATAAGAATAGAAACACTTTATGGTATTTCTAAGAACGGTAACTCTGCTTCTTGTTTCCTAAAAGATGGGAAATTCAATTCATCGCCAAATTCGTTATACCGCCATGATTTCTAAATTACAAAAGGTGGCGGTTTATCGAGAATTAACTGTATTGGGAAGTTGTTGTATTAGTGTGTGTGAGGGTGTGTGTGTGAGGGGTAGGGGCGTGACACGCCCCCAAGCACCCCCTCCGGTTCCTACGGCCATGCACAGTAAAAAAATAATTCCATTGTCCATAATCATTTCTTATTAATATTGTAAAATTTCATTTTAATTACATGTATAAAACGGTAACACGTGTTAAGCTACAAAGTATCTCAGACAATATAATACATAAAGCCGTACAAAGTTGGAAAAGCCAAGATTAAATTTGGAATTACCAAAAGCCAAGATTAAAGTTGGAATTACCAACTTTAAAGTTGGAAAAGTCAATTAAGATTAAAGTTTGAATTTCCAACTTTAAAGTTGGAAAAGCCAAAATTAAAGTTGAAATTACCAACTTTAAAGTTGGAAAAGCCAAGATTAAAGTTGGAATTACTAACTTTAAATTGGAATTAGCAACTTAAAAAAATATTGTGTGGCACTAATACCCTTCCGTAATTATCGGAGTGGGTTTTAACGAAGTAATTTTGCTGATGACCTGTATTGTTAACAAGATACGAACATTTCCGAGTTCCATTTCATAGAAGCAGAAGTCTATGATATTTGAATTTAAACAATATTTTACGTGTTGTTTTCCTACAATATCCGATAATTGTGACAGTTTTCAAATATTTGTTATTGCATATTTTTTTAAGCATTAAGAAATATATAGACAATTAAAATTTGATCTTCATATTTTTTTCGCATGAACAGCGTTTAACATTTTAAATTTTAACTGAATGATAATGATTACTGAATTAAATATGAATATACAAATACGGGATTTCCTTTACGTAACAAAAGGCAATGGTCTAAAACCCATTGAATAATATCGTCGTCTGGTTGACGTAATTCGCCATCAGACTATAAATTAAAGATACAACTTGATAAAAGAACAGTAATTTATCAGGTAAGTCAATTATTTAGGTCAAATTAATAGGCACATGTAGTGAAAAATATAATATTATGAATTCATATACTAGTATACTGCAAGATTTATAATGTAATGCAAGGTAATAACTTTAAAAACTAAAATTCAATTTATTCACCCTTTATGTAGAATAGAGGATGCAGTCGTTGTCTGTCTGTTTGTCTGTCCACAAACGGTGTCCAGGTTTTAATGTAGTGCCCTTGGTTGAATTACATGTTAATTAACATTTAGATTTAGATTATATGTCAATTGGCATTGATAATATTGTCTTTCTGACATATTTTTTAATTATCAAGAAAAATATGTATTATGACTATTTTTTTTGGTAAAAGGAAATATGTCAGAAAGACAATATGAATATCAAATAATCTTTATTTGTAAAGTTTACTGGAAAATGTTTGATGCTATCCCCGTCTACTTCTGGTAAATTTGTAACTTTAAGGTAAATTATTAAATTGTCTTTTCACTTTTTTGTTTTTTATTAGACAGTTAACAAAAGAAAAAAAGGTAATTTTTTTTATCTTTCAATTAAATTGATAAAACTCTTTTGACAAATATCTTTTGGTCGCACTATGTTTTCAAGTTTTTTTTTCTTTCAACAGTCAACAATAGTTAAAAGGTTATACATTCCTTATTCATACAATGACAGAGAAAAACACCCAGTTTAAAAATAATCAAGACACATGTTACAATTTTCTTCTATGTGATGTGTGTACTTAACCCTAAGTAACTGCATATATTGTCATTCAACGGTGCAAATGTGTCATGTTTTAATTCACTGAAAGATAAGTTTAATGTGCTCAATTGTCATTGGTAAATGATTGTAGATGTTGCATACATTTAATACAAGTTGAATGCACCGTGGAGAATGAAAATAGTGCAATAACATGATTTTATAAATTCTTAAAAACGAAGAATGCATGTATCCCTTCCTCCTCTCGTTCCTGCAAACATTCTTTTAAAAAGTGTTTTTGGGCATACAAAATGTATAATTGATAGCTGTATACATTTTCTGCCACGAAGCCGAGAAGTCGCAAAATAAAAGTACATTTTGTCGCCCGTTGTGCATGTGAATAGTAAAAAGGCTCCTCTCCACTTTTAAATTCTGCAGTTAAAAATTTGGAGTATACATGTATTTTGGAGGATGATATAGACCTACACGTCAATAGAATCAAAAGCGGATATTAAACTACATATTGCTATTAATAGAAAAATGGAAGACTATTATTTAATTATTGTTAAGTATTTAGGTAATCAAATGTCATTGCCTTCAGGATGTAGCTTAAATCTGTAGAGCCTCGAAGTAGAAAAGAGATCCGTATAATTGTCACCCCAAGTACAGTATAATTCAGATGAAATTAGTAAACTTCTATTTTCAGAAGAACAGTCGTATACAACACAAGGTAATAATTATAAAAGCAATAGTTAGTTAAGGTCAGACGACACGTTCCTCAAAAATATATAATTTTTCCCCAAGAATTTATCTTTGAAGTCTAGGTACTTAAGCAAGTTTCCTAGAAAGAAAATTGGGTACCTTACCAGACATTTGGACAAGATACCACGGGGTGATATTTCTTATATAACCCTTATGTGTAATCTTCTGAAAGGCCTAATCTCAGAATTTTTGGTGAACTTATATTTAAAAACATATTTTAAATATGTTGAAAACAATGTAGAAATTACAAGAGAATGACAATTATGTAGTGTAGTGTAAAATAAATTTACAATAAAGTGTCTAATATACTAGCGTATATATATTAATTTAACAACGTATGTAAGAATGAGTTTATATTTATTTTAGTGTATATTACTACATAAGTTAGGGACGTTAACGATAGAGATGTCTGAAACTCAAGTTTATTTTCAAGTTTACATGTAGTTGTACTAAGTTTGCCTTCAATGACTTTTTAGTTAAACATTCAAATAATGGAACACTGTACATGTACGTACTCTGATTTTGATATTTAAAAGATTCTTGCGTTTCTGATTGACAATTTCTATGTGGTTTTTTGGAGATCGGGTCTATCTAACAACAAAGCCTTAGAATTAACATGATGTCTTGACCTTTTCAGTACTTATGCAGCAATATATCATTATCACCTGCATTTTGAGTTTATATCTCTGAATTGATTCTTTTTGCAAGAGCATGCTGAGTATGAACAGTTTCTAAAACGAGGAAAATTACTGACAAACAAGTTGATGAAACAAGAATATCAACAGTCTCGTTTAAAGTCATCATTTCGTAAGTTCTTTGGTCGATCCAATGACCTTTTCAGCAAATACAATCATCAAGTCTAATGTTGACTGACGTTTTACACACTTATTGATAGGCCATTATTTACACACTGAATTGTCGAACGGATTTTTCTTGATCATGACAAGGGGCACAAGGCGGGTGTGACCGGTCGGCAGGGTCTGCTCACTCCTTCGTGACTCCTGATCGCATCTTTGATATTTTAAAGGACCATGTTTTGTCTGCTACTGATTTGTATTGTTTCATGTATTTTGAGTTTAAGTACTGCTACCTGATACTTAGGCTATATCCATATTTCTACTATCATTGTGAAGAGTACTGATGTTTAATCCTAAACATATATTTCAATGAATAAAATACTTTAAAAGAACTCATTTGATGTTTATTCATAACTACAAAAGTAAAAATTCTAAATCATTCAAGGACAAAATATCATTTGAAGCAGTATGTAAATTTAATGTTCATGATTATGACTGGGAATAGGGGGATATCCATAAAATTATGGTTTGAATTAAGATCATTTTCATGAAGAGAAGTGTCTACTTTAAATCAAAATCAAATTAATTGCAAAAAACAGATGTGAATCATATAACATTAAACAAAGAGCGCAGCCATTTCATAAGTTAACCAAATAAACTGACTTTTTATATGCATATTTAATAATTATGCAGTTGTTGGCTATCATTTGGCAACTGCGGTCAGATTATTTTGTAAACAAAAAGTAATTCATTCAGGCACTTGTCTTATGAGATAAGATTATATGTGCCCCATAAATTGCATTAAGTATGCTTCTTTGCATCAAAACATTTTAATTTATCATTACAAATGACGAAGGTGAATATTTTATTCATAGTTGTCGTACAATAACATTTAGTAGGATTTCACAAATGAGAGAATAAAAAAGAATTTAAGGTCTTCCTTTGAGTCAATTTCTTGACAGAAACAAAAGTATTATTTGTAATTTCCTTTAATGCCAGTAGAAGAATTTTGAAAAGAAACAAGCAAAAAACAAAGGATTTATATCGCAAAAAAATATTTTGGTTCATTTTTTAGCTATGAGAGGGACAGTTTTGGCCGTTACACTAGTCACTCTGTTGACGGGGAGCAGAGGTCAGTCGGTGGATTCGGTGGTCCGCGATGCAGTCAATTCCGCCTTCAGCGGCAGCACTTCGGGTCGAAGAATTACGGGAGGGACATTGATACCTACAGGTAAATCATCTGATGATCAATTCAACTTTAGTTATTATAAAATCACAAATTTTCGTGGAGTCAATTTTTCGAGGTTTGAATAGAATTATTGGAATGAGGAGATTTGATTTTGTGGTTGGATAATTTTTATAATTGTAAAACTATTTTCATTTTTACAATCATTATACAATCTGAAATATGAAAGATTGCTGAACGAGTTTGTAACATTTATTCATTAAATACATGCATTATAACAAAATAATTATTGTCATTTTCCATGAATAAAACAACAAGAGGAAAATGATTTGTGAACTTTATATCAATATTAACCCTCCACTTAGAGATTGGATGATAGTCAAAATGCAAGTTAGCTGTTAATAAATATTTGAAATTTTGCATTTCAAGGAAAGCAGGGTGCTTATTTCCATAGCAACACTCATAAAGAATCTTCTGAATTTTTTCAGGAAAAACTATGTACACCTAAAACCACGAAAATGAAAACCACATGAAAAAGTTAATTCACAGTATTAACCAATGAGACTTTATAAAATTCAATGAATATTTTTTTTTTTACTTTTGATTACTTTGTTACCATAAAATTGAAAGCAAACATTTGAAATTTTTGCTTTGTCTTTGCCGCAAATGTTCTATTTAACATGTTAAAAACTTCAACTTTAAGACATGTTGCCATGGTAACTATAAAACATAGCAACCAACAATTAATACAAATTGCTGGGTATACAATTTACCAGCCGATGGTAACAATGCCAAAAAACCATTTTCTTTTTTAAAGAAAGCAAACATTTTAAGTTTCAAAAAATATTATATACAAATTGCTGTATAACAATTTCAGTAACAATGCCAAAATTTCCATTTCCTTTTTTAAAGAAGTTTAGTTTCAAAAAATATTATAAGTGTCAGTATGCATGAATTAAAAAATTAAAATGATCCTATGTATGGACAATAATATCAATCACTCTATTTAAAATTCTTTTCCTTCATTTCACTCATCCTTAATACTTTCATCAAGGAAGAGCCAAGAGGTCAAAATTGGAGTCAACTCCTGCTTTTTCATTTGTTTAATGATTTTAATTATTCCAAGCGCCAATATATCATTAATTGGATGGATTGGAATTTTGAAATTGGCATAGCATTAACCTACATGTATTTATTTTTACAGTTAAATGAATAGTTCGGTCAAGTTTTAAATTTGCACTCTATGTTAATGATGTATTAGGTCATATATTAAGTACGAATCAAACGAAAAAGATATTGTCTATGCAACTTTATAGGGCCTTTTATAATGCTCCTTTTAAAATAAGTATATGATTGTAGAAATTTAAATTCATCATCAGTTGAATAAATTATTTCAGGTCCCCTACGATGCACCCAGCCCAAAATATTTGCCAGTATATACTTAACAAGGAGTGGTGACCATTTAATATATTGAATCAACCCTTTATTATTTAAAAAAACTTCTATGACGTCACCCATTGTTATAAGTCTACGTATATATTACCGATTCAACCAGCACTTGTTGGATATTTAAAAGATCCAACTGGCCATCAGTTGGATATTTTAAATATCCAACTGCCTATCGGTTGGATATTTAAATATCCAACTGAGGTGCATAAAACAAAAAACAATGAACAAAAGAGATAAAAACAATTTTAAAATGTATTTCCAATACACATGAAAAATAATAATTACTCCAAATTTGCCGGACTATTAGAATTAATTTCCAGTGGACACGGAATTACCGTAATTACGTCGCATTTGTCATGTTTCAATTGCACTTCGAATGCTCACAGAAATAACAATTCCTCCGAATTTTGCACCCTTTTAGAAATGTTTTCGATCTCGCATCACATTTTGACACTTATATACATTTTCACCTTGAATCTTAAACTACATCACTTCTTACTGCTGAATATTATTTCAGGGTCCGTTATCAGTAAATCCCTTCAGATTATCCGAGATTCATCTCTGTTTCATACTTTCCCGGCGTACTTCCCCAAACAACGTAATTAATTGACAGCCAATCTACTTTTCGACACCGTTTTTATTGCAGATCTTGATATGGAATGTTTTTAAAGCAGGTTCCGCATAACACCGCCAATCTCTTTATCTGTCTAAGCACTACTACAAGTATTGTTTGAATGGAACTACATAAGAATCCAACTCTTTTCCTAAAAAAAAAACATCATCTTATAATAAATAACGACAGATTCCCATCCTTCTATCAAAATTCTGTAGTTTTCTTCAGCTTTCAGGTCAAAGATATTCAAAACACTTTCTAAACCTCTCTAATTTACTTTGGATTTTAAAATATTCTTCGTATGATTTCATGACTGTTCAGTACAATGAAAAGGGTTGAAATGACATCAGCACCATGTAGTTTCATGCTCACTAGTCCATGAATAAAAGGGATGTTCGATTAGGCTATTGTTTTGTGTCACGGTTGGATATTTGAATGGGCTACATCCTATTGTATTACAGCAAAGTTGGATATTTGAATGGGTGAATGTTTCTTTGGGGCCCAAAGTAGGGAATTTTTTTAAGTAAGATAAATAACTCGATAGTGTTGAATAGTTTAGAGAAAACATCCCCTCCTGGGGCCTTCGGCCCTCGGAGAGAATGTTTTCTCTAAACTATTCAACACCGTCTCGTTATTTATCCCTTACATAGAACACAACATGTAGCATGATGTTCTATACCTTAAGACAGCTATGGTGTTCCATACAAAATGCTAAACAAGAGGACCACGGTCCTACGTCACCAGAGCGTCATGTAACAAATTTCCCCACAATTGAATTTGGCTCGTGTTTTAAACCAAAAGCCATAAAATTCACAATTTTGAAAGAGGCACCGTGCCGTTGCTTAAAATACACTGTAACTATACACTTATGCTACACACATGCTTACTTTGGTTACTTAATACCCAGAGGTAGATCAGAGTAACAAAGAGAAAATGCATTTCCACTTTGTCCTTATAATCAGTTGTGCACCCTACCCCTTAGGAGCCACTGACCCTGGGGCCACGTATTTCAAAATTTTGGAAATTTTATCATAATTTTTTTTTTCATCATAAATGGTTGATATACCAAAGAGCATGCAGATTTCAAAGCATTTATTTATTTTCAGACTATGTATAGCATGAAATTCACATATTTGGAGGAGGCATCCTTCCTCATCATAATTATGTAAATAGTTCATTGGTTTAATACCCAGGAGCAGAGAAGAAGATTTATAAAGACTTTATGCATTTTCACTATATAATCAATAGAGCCCCGCCCAAACACCAATACCCTTGACTCTGGGTCCATGAAATTCACAATTTTGGAAGAGGCATCCATGCTCACTATAACTATGTACATATAGTTAGTTTGTTTAATACCCAGGGGCAGAGAAGAAGATTTTCAAAGAAATAATGCATTTCACTATATAATCTATATTGCCCCGCCCTTACACTTGAACCCCTGAACCTGGGACCATGAAATTCACAAACTGGAAGAGGCAACCTTATTCAACATAACTTTGTACTTGTTTAGTTTATTTAATGCCCAGGAGAAGAGAAGAAGATTTTCAAATAAATAATGCATTTTCACCTATATTTAGCCCCGCCCTAGCACTAGAACCTCTGATCTTGGGGCCATGAAATTCACAATTTTGGTAGAGGACTCACAGCTGATTACACGCCAACAGTTTGACTGCTTGATGTCTAGGAGTAAAGAAGATTTTTGCATTAATTTTAGTAGTTTTGGTCCGACCCCTAAGGCCCCAGGGGGACAGGGACCATGACCCCTTTACCCATAGATGCTTCATGCCAAACGTGGTTGAGCGGTTGCAGAGAAGAAGCTGAAGATGTTCAAATGTTAACGCACAAGGCACGACGCACGACGACGGCGGACAAAAACAGATAGTATCGGTCACCTGAGTACTCCTGCAGGTGACCTAAAACGAGATTGTTGAAATCCCTTAACATCTGATTTGGTTTAAAAATAGATCGTACTCAGAGTATAAAATTAAAATTTGTAGACATTGAAAAACTGATTGAAAAATAAAATCGTCTGTCAAACAGTCTAGCTGTTTATAGTCCGAAATATCTGACATCTTTTCAGGCTGTTTTACGATTATGATACTTTACGTCACAGGAAAACGTCAGAACCTGCCCCATTACGAAAACTTGGAATTCTCGGGTTGATTTTATAGATACTTGGCAGTTGCAATAAATGTCAGAATCACAAGTTATCAATTTGATTTACACCATTTCTAGAAACAGTACGTCTAAAGTTTATCCACTTTGTAAGTTAATATTTTTTTGTTTCTTTCGCGAATTGAAATATCGGGGCTACCTGTGAAAATAAGAGAATCACTTTTACATATATATTGTCAGATCAAGGATCATATTGGATGTTCTTCTGTATTCTAGTGAGCACCGGTTCAACAAACCCACCCACGCAGACAACTGGGGGTTCCAGCGCCATTAATGCCCACAACAGATTTTCACAAAGTAACTCTCCAGAAATGAATAGAATGTTAGATGACAGGTCGTCCCAAGCATCAACGGCCGCTCGGAATATTGCTGCCAGGTACGTTAATACTTTAACTTACTTAAAATATTCATCTCATAAATAAACAATTTTAGATAATATCAAAATGCACTTTTATTGTTTAAAAATATATTTTAGCAAATACGAATATTGTTCCAGTCAAAAGGTGCAATAGCACTTTTATTTGACTTACTTTACAAATGTCTGTATTATATACAATATACTGTATCTATAAGTCTTTTGTTAATTTTCAAATAAATAGTATTTTGGTACACCAATGTTTTGAAAATAAGCGAGATCATCGTGGCATATGTAAATATGTGCAATTACTGTACATAACCTTACAATAATCATTTTTCTGCGAGTGGAAAGTTTGAGATTTAACCCAAATTACTCTCGGTGTTTCTTGTTTTCTTTCTGAGTTTGCAATAATCGCAGGAATTCATTTACAGTATTTGAGTTTAATGTAGATATTTTGGATTAATTAACTTTTGCGAATTTGTCTTATCTGCTAATTTCCTCAAAAGTTGCACTACGCTATATTATTTAATTGTTCATCTTTTGATCTATACCATCGTTATCATTTTTTAGTCCGATAATTGCATCTGGCACAAGAAACACCGATGAGGCCCACAGAAAAGTGATTTCCGATCCTGAGATTACGGCAAGCTTTCAGAGAGCAATGGCGCCATTTTGTTACGAGATGCCCGTATGTGATACACAGAATCCATACAGGACAGCAGACGGATCATGTAACAATCTTTATAACCCCCTCCTAGGAAAAGCCTTCACACCACAGGCACGGATTCTCCAAAACCATTATGATAACTGTAAGTTAGAAGGGAAATAATATTGAAATGGTAAAAGACAAAAACGTTGTTTTTTCTCACTTTCTTTCACGTCCTTTCGAATTTTTCACTCAAACTGAGATACTGCTACCTAGACCTATGTAACTGTTTGACATAAAACATTATCTAGAGCACAGTGAGAAATCGGCGAGAGATCTCTAGGTACTATATACTGTCTCATACATAGGACCTGTTTCCACGCGTGCAGTGGTGGGATTTAAACCTGCAACTTAAGGATCAACTCCATATTCCTCAATCTGCAGGTCACTCAAAAATATTGAAATGAACGAAACTTATAATCGATGCTGTGCCTCTTAGAGTTGTTTAAATAATTTATATAGGGATTAAATTTCATTATTTGAGAGAAGAGTCAAATTTTATTTTAATGTAATGGAGTAGAGAAATCCCTCATTCTTTTCATCAGTAAAACGTATAAAATGACACAACATTAAAATTTTGTTTTGATCTGTTGAAAAAAGTTTAAGATAAATTCATTTTAATTACAGTCATAGACACCCCTCGGACGTTGACCAGTAACAGACAAAGTAAATTGCCCGGCGCCCGTGAAGTAAGTAACGCCGTACTCTCAGGATCAACGCCAACCAGTTCCATATACTCAACATTTCTGACTCACTTTGGACAGTTCATCGATCACGACATCATTGCCACACCCTCAATGACAGGTTAGTGAACTTCCTTAACTTTATACCTAGTCTTCTTTAGTCTCTTTTCAGATCCTCAAAATAGAACTGGTTGATCTCGAATACTTTTACATGTTTTTTTTCTCAGCAAATCTTCTGTATTTTATCAAAGCTTAAAAACAATTGCAAGCAGAACAAAACACAGTATTTTTACTTACATTATGTTGTGAATATCTAGTCAATTTTGCAATATGCGACCTATTAAAGACAAATCTGAAATTTTCAAATATGTCAGGGGTCCCTTAAAACATAAAATCAAATTCTTGATTTTGAAGTAAATACTAAAATTCAAATTTACTTATTTTCCTGTCCTTTATTATATCATTGAATTACGTTCGCTCTTGTAATAAGATCTTGTTCGTTTCAGAGGGCAACCCACCAAGAACCATAACTGATTGCTGCAATCCTTTAGTGTAAGTGTGTTCCAATTCTATACAATGTCTTATTTCTAAATTCTGCTTTAAGAAACTTCAAATATTGTATTTATTTCTTGTTTATGAAAAACACTGTAAAAGGTTCTGACAAAAAATAATCTTGATTTGAATACTGTTCTTTATCTCCATATTTCATTTTCACTACATTTACAGAAATGATTTCTCATCTACAGAACTTTAATTCCGATTTCCTACAGATAAATTTTGTTTTACACTCCGAGTTCTCTTCTAAGAAATGTATTTTCCTATTTTAATATCCGATTTACATCATACAGAAATAGTTTTTCGTTTTTTAAATTACTATCCGAGTTCTCTCCGACAGAAATAAATTTTGTTTAACTAAATGCATTCTTTCCGACAGAATAAAATCCTGTTTTACTAGAGTTCTCTCCAAAGAAAAAAATTTCCTGCTTTAATATCTGAGTTCTCCCCTTAAAGAAATACCTTTGCTTGTTTTACTATTAGAATTTTCTCGCACAGAAATAAATTTGCCTGTTTCACTTTCCAATTCCTTTCCTAAAGAAATACATTTGCCTGTTTTACCATCAGAATTTTCTCCTACAGAAATAAATTTGCCTGTTTCACTATCCAATTTCTCTTAAACAGAAACGAATTTGCCTCTTTTACTATCCTTTTTCTCTCCGAAAGGTATAATTTTGCCTTTTTTACTATCCGAATTCCTTCATACAGAAATAAATTTAACTGTTTTACTTTCCGAATTCCCTATACATAAATAAATTTGCTTGTTTTACTTTCCCAATTCCCTCAAACAGAAATAATTTTGCTTCTTTTACTATCCGAATTCCCTCATACAGAAATAAATTTGCTTGTTTTACTTTCCGAATTCCCTCATACAGGAATAGATTTGCTTGTTTTACTATCCGATTTCTTTCCTACAGAAATAAATTTGCCTGTTTTACTATCCCAGTACCAAGAGGTGATCCACATTTCCCTCCTACACAAACCTGCATGAATATGGTCCGCCATTCTGCAGCTTTACCACTTGGATGTACAAATGGTATACATGTCCTTTCTAAAAAATAAATTGTGGTACAATGTACTAATGAATTAAATTGAGTTTCATCAATGTTTTATACATCTAAAACAATAATATATACGTGAACTTAACTCTTTAAGAAATTAATTCTAGCAAGAATTTCTGACGAATAGTCAAATAACCGTGTTCCTTAAAAACAAGACAAAGAAAATGATATATCAAAATAATACTCTTTCTTGGTTAATGCAGTTTACCTGACTTTCCCTCACTACGTATAAGTTCCATTACAATTGTGCTCCTTTGCATGACTTCATGAAGTATTCCCTTTTACAATCATCAATTTCAGCATCAAACTGATCATAATATAACTTTAATTTTCAAGTTTGCAATTAGATTGTCTATTAATTTTACCAAAATTTTAGACTGAGATGTCGTCATCTTGATTTTAACAGGTGTTCGTGAACAGCAGAATCAACGTTCCTCTTTCATAGATGGTACAGCCATCTATGGTTTCAATAATGAACGGGAAATGGAACTTCGACAGCGCAGTAAGGCTTTCATTTCCCCCGGGCTTTTTGAAAACAAATATTCCAATTCAACTTTTTTCCTGATCCGAAAATACATTTCATTACCATTAACTAATCGAAAATGCAAGAAAAAGGGAATAGTTCTTTTAAGTGAGATGTTCATGATATCTTCATATACACTGTACATGCTTAGCTGCACATGTACGTTGACTTATTAAAATAAACTGCAAAGGTCGATAGTTATATGCATATCTTTAATAATTGCAGTGGAAAATCCAAAATGTTGGGTCAAATTATATATTGAGTTTGATTACAATATGTGCGCCCATGTTTGATGATTTATTTTGCATATCTTTCCAACTTTTAGGCGGTGGGCGACTAAAAACGAGCGATATAGTACGGGGTCTACTTCCTCGTGCAACCTGTCCAATGGGAATATCTACTCAATATCACTGTTTTATAGCAGGTTGGTTTCTGGATAGGTCTTTTCAATGATATTCTAATTTCCTCTCTTAATATTCAAATACAATATCTCTTGGTCGGTCAATCTTAATATATGCATAATGCTTGCAATATGAAAGAAACAGTATGGATTTCCCCTTATAATCCTTACCATTATACACCGTTATTCATGATAAACGTGCTCTCTCTTTAAAAATCAATAACTAAAACTAATAATGAGTTAATGGTTTGTTCAGGTGATCATAGACAAAGTGAAACGCCTACACTTACTGTTATGCATACAATTTGGATGCGACGTCATAATCTCATAGCAGACGCCTTAAGGGCATCCACACGTATTACTGACGACGAAGTTCTCTTCCAGGAGGCAAAGAGAATAGTTGTTGCTGAGCTTCAGCACGTGACTTACAACGAATTCTTACCAGCAGTACTTGACAAAACCCACCTGAATTACTTCAACCTTCGCTCCAGGCAATCCGGCCACGATAGCTACGTTTACAACCCAAGTGTCGACCCAAGAACTTTTAATGCCTTTGGTGCCGCAGTATTACGTATGGGTCACTCTTTAGTCAGAAATATTGTAGGACAAGACAATGGACGTCAGCAAATTCGAACCTTTCCTCTAAGCAATCATTTTGAAAATCCAGATCTCATGTTTTCTCCAAGAAACGGCTTCGAATTTATGGCTCGCTGGATGGCTAAATCTCCTAAGTCTCAAGCTGACAGCAGCATTGTAGACGGACTCAGAAACAGACTATTTGAAGGTACCCCTGGGCAGTTCCCCAGTGAAACAACGTCTTTTGACCTTGGAGCTTTGAACATTCAGCGTGGCCGTGAGCACGGACTTCCATCTTACAATGCCTACAGACAGTACTGCGGGCGATATCCAGCCTCTCACTTCGGTACCTCATCTGGTGGTTTGGTAGATCATTCCCCTCAAGATGCTGCTAACCTCGCTGCTGTTTACAGGTTAATAGATCAATATGCAATATATAACATAATGTTTGAGGATTTTTCATTGTCAGCTTTTTTCAAGTAAAAAAACGCTCTTTGAACAATTTTTATTGATATGATATTATTATACAACAAAAAATAACGCAATTGAAACGTATGGAAATAATGAACAGTATTCAAGATCAAAAGTCCATTAAACAATACAAATTAGGAGAAGGGAAAGTACGGACCTCCAAAATATCGGTGGTGAGATCAGGTGCCAAGGAGGAGTGAGCATCTCCTGTCGACCGGTCGCACAAGCCGTGTGCTCCATGTCATGATCGGGAATCAACGGAAAATCCGTCGTCAATTCATTGTATAAATAATGGACTAACAATAAGTATGAAAACGTCAGTCAGCATTTGACTCAATGATAAAGTCATTGTATCGACCATAGAACTTACGAAATGATAATTTTAAACGAGACAGCTGAAATTCTTGTTTCATGAACTTGTTTGTCAATACTTTACCTCGTTTTAGAAATTGTTCATACGTAGAGCACGTTTTTGCGCATCGAATCAACTGAGATATAAACTCCATATGCAGGTGATGAAGGTATATTGCTGCATAAGTAAGGGAAGTTGACGATAGAAAAGTTAAAGTCATCACGTTTATCATAGAGCTTGGTTGTTAGATTATCATTAACGTCTTTTTCATGTAAAATATCCAAATATGAAATAGATGTATCAGACTCTGTGGTATCTTTTATCTCAGGCTCACCAGGATATATCGTATTGACATAAGAATGGAAATTGTGCTATTAATTTTTAATTTTTCAACCCTAAAATTATAAATCATTGCAAAATAAAACCAACATAATTTTTTATGATGCAGTGAACTGAAGAAACATTAAATGCAGAAATATTCACAGTCAATTCTGTATTCTTCTGCAGAAGTACTGATGATATTGACCTTTTTGCTGGAGGAATGTCTGAGAGACCTATCTATGGCGGCATCCTTGGACCCACCTTTTCCTGTCTATTTGCCCTTCAGTTTTCTCGTTACAAACATGGAGACAGGTTCTGGTATGAGAACGATGTACATGAGAACCCATTGACCGCCTTTACCACAGGTCAGTAGAATTCTGCGCAACCATTCTTTATTACCATTATGCTGGATTTTATGAGTCATCAATGTATTACAATTTACTGGACGTGAAATAATTTTGGACTGAACATTACACATAAGACTCAAATGTTGTTTATTTAAAATGTCCATATTTTATACATGTGGTCAATAAATTTTTGCAACGGAAAGTTTTTATGCATGAGACATTCTGGTCATAATAAAAATGTATGCAAGAATGAAGCATGAAAGCGAGGAAACGACCTTGTGTAATTGTACAAAATTAATCTTCTCTGCTTCATTTTGAGCTGTAAAGGTTAAAAAACCGCTAAATCTTGTTCCATGGTCTTTGTTCATTTTTGTGTACTTTAACAATGCATTTTTATATAATTGCGTACGATTTCTTTTTGTAGATTATTTGGTGTAAATAAAAAGAGTAGTCATTAATCATTCAAACTCTCTAAAATCCATACCCGTATTTTCTTTTGCAGGGCAACTTGATGAACTGAAACAAGTTACTTTGGCCAAAATTTTATGCTCAGTCGTCAAAGATGATGGTTTTAAACAATATCAGCCTCGACTTCTTTTACGACCAGATATCACAGGGTACGTACAGCCTTGTATCAAGTGTTTGCAGACAATATTTTTTTTTCGAATCTCTTTACATTTAGAAGTGTACATGTGGTACAATTGAAATTTGTTATTTACACATACAAATTTTTTCAAGATTTTTGGAAAATAGGATGATATGATTTTTAGAAAAAAATTGCATCAAAAATGTTTTTAAGAAAAATTTTAAGTTTGATGTTTTTATAGATCATTTTCAATTTTTTTTTTCATGTTTTCATTGCAGAAATTCCCTTCGGCCTTGCAGCAAAATATTGAATAGATATGATCTTGGATACGACATTCGTCCATTTGCTGATCAACTGAATTCGCTGAGAAGCAGACGAACCAGCAGCAGATTCCCTTCCTTTCCAGGAGCTTTTCAGCGAAGTGCAGCTAGAGGCGGATCCACGTCTCAAACAAGCATTCCACCAACTAATGTTGGCTTCAAAATCCCTAATCCTGCTGATGTTCTTCGAAATGTAACTTCTACCAGTACTTCCACTGGAAGTCAAGGAGGCGGTGGCGTCGACCCACTACCAAACAATAGGGGTCAGAGAGGACGAAGAAGAAATAACCGTAGACGCAATAATAAACAAAATCAAAGACAGGGAACACGTAAAAGATTTCAAGGAAGATTTTGAAATCAAGGATAAATGCTTGAATTGTAATTTCTGTGAGGGTATTATGAATTGTAAAATTTTGTATGGATGCATGAAAGATATAAATTCTTTCTTGATCTCTCTGATTTCAAGTATACTGGTTATAAAGTTTTCAAGTTTTTTTTTTAAATTTTCTTATACAAAGACAGCTTCTAACATAAAGACCAAAAATGATGCATCCCATCAGATGATCCAGATAAAATCCATTACAGCCAACATAATAACTAAATATATGTATTACATCGGAGATTCTTCGTGTTGGACACGCTTATTCTAAAAGTTGACCCACCAGGAAAGACCACGCGTCCGCCAGGACACTTGTTGAAAAATGGAAGAGAAAGGACACTTTTTAATAAAAGAGATTGAAATGTTTGGAAGCAACAGTTGGGAAATGTCGGTAGGAAATAAAGGTTGTAGACTTTCAGATGAAATATGTTGGAATGCTAGAATGCAACTTTGTTTCAAAGCATCTATTCCTTTGGTGGTAAAATGAAGTTTAAGGAAGTGACAGGTTGACCCGGAAGTATTATCCTCCGGTATAATGGAATCTATGGCTTGCTGCGCCTGACAGGTGCTGGGAAGCATTCATACTCTCAAACGCTAGCTTTCTTTTAAACACTTTTCAATAGTAGAGAAGAAATTACCCCATTGCTAATTCAATGGCCATACGAATACAAGTAAAAGCCGTCAAAAAGAACAATGGAAAATGCACAAAAAGCAAATTTACTATAAACGTTGAAAAAAACCTTTTTATTAATTCTTCAAAATATTTTTTCCAAAAAAGTCTATTGGTTTAACATTTTCACTTGAAAATATCTTAATATGTAGACCTTTAGTTAGATTTTGATTAACATTAGACAGAATTGTTTTATTAATCTATTTACCGAGATATTAAAAATGTCACAATAAGTATGTGCACCACCTGTGAAATATAAAGGAACTAGTTCTAATTGTTCAAAATTAATGTCCAATGTTTTAAAAGTGGAACAAACTATTAAGGTTAAAGTAGGTTAAATTCTTGCTTAAATGGGTCAGACTCCAAGATCAAGAGGTCAAATATATTGATACCCAAAGACAGACTTTGTTACAAGAAATACACATGTGAAAAATGAATGCATTGTTGATGAAAAACCAGTTAAGTAAGGGTAAGATCTTTGGATTTTATTGTGTGAACTATGAGAATCTCTTAGTTTTTATATCATTTAAAAAATTTGACTCCAAAGTTAGCATTTGCCAAGTTCAGGTGAAGAAAATCTACCTTTGTCAAGGGCATAAATTTTTAAACATCTCAAAATACAGGTACATTTGCTATAGGATTATGTAGGATAGTGCCAATTTTTTGCACTTTTTATAAAATTATGCAAATACTACAATGTACTTTTTGATCAAAAGATAATACATGATGAATAATACTACATTGTAAATTTTATGTAAGAAACACAATATTCTACCATCTTGTTTCCAGAGTGGGTATCTCAAAATATTAAAAATTAACGGATTTCCGTTTTTACAGAGTCCTACAAAATATGACGTATACAAAAGATTTAAACAGAGAATAATAAAAATGATGGAGATATTCTCAAATTTCAGTGCTTTAAATTTCAAGAGCATACATCAATTACTTTTTCTTTTAAAACATTTTTATCACCCCTTCTTCATAAGCTTTATGTTATCATAACATAAAAAACGCACTATTACGACGTCAATCTACCTAATTGGTGAAAAATCGTTTTTAAGATCAGTTATATAAAATTGAAATCAAACTTTCGACCTGTAATTTCTTAATTTCCCTAATTAATTTCTAATAAAAATAAGTAAAAAAAAGAGTTTCAAAACAGTAAATATGATGCGCGAAATATTGCGCAATGGAAACCCCAGTCGGCCCCCTTAAAATTATGCACAGGGTTAAAGTTAATGGTGTCCAAAGGAAAGGCTCTGTCGCAAGAAACGTCTGAAAAATATGTAAGCCGTCGCTCTAACTTTAAAAATGTTTGGCCAAGAATATTTTTTATTTAAAAAATGCCAAACTGCAATGTCATGAAAACAGCAATAACCCACTTTGAATATCTTTATCTTTTGCCACAACTTTTAATGGTTTGTTTTTGGACTTTCATATATTTCACAGATCTATTCAATGAGAGAAAGTCCTTTCTATGGGTATGAATATTTTTCAACTCTTGAACTCGAAGTCTGACTTGCATTTGAGAAACTTCAACCTTCGCCTAAAGTGTTATATAGGGGCATCATTGTTTTACAAACAATGCACTTGGCTAGCGTTAATTCATACCTAAGACCGGTCTTTGGGATTTGACCGGTGTACCGAGGTCTTTGTGTTAATGCTGGCAGAAGAAAAAAGATATATTTCATTGTAAAATGTTGTAAGTGTCCAGTACAGGTCTATCATTGCAGCTCTCCACCTGCAAGTAGTGGTGTCTGTGAAGAAAAGTTCTCGAAGGAGCGTTATCACAGATATGCATAAGAAAAGACTGAATAGTTTTTAAAAATAGCCGTACGATATATCTTAAATAAGTTTAGTTTGATTAACTCCCTTTAAACAAAATCATATTGATAAAATTACATTGAAAAATGCATTGTAACTCAATTGCTTCAAGCAATATTTGGAGTAAAACGCAGCAAAAAATCAGTATTTGACAGACGGTTATTTTGGACACGATATATATATATTTCTGGAAATCTGAACGCAATTATCAAATTTTTTTAGATTTTCTAAAAATATCAATGGGCATAAGTAAAAAGACTCTTTTGGAATTTCCCTTGCCAAAGATTCCTTTTTGAATATTATACAAAAGTAAACGTGTCTTTATGTTTAATGTATTTTCCATTCGTAACAAATTTATATGTCTTTTTGAAAATTTCAAAAGACCCATTTAAAGTGATTACAAATAACTATCTTAAAGAAACATAGTTTTTTTTTACGTTTGAGTCTGGCTTTTACTTTATTTGATTTTCAAATCCAAATCATTTAACAATTACAGAACAAACACTATTTGGTGCTTTTTAAATTTAAAAAAGGTTTGATTATTTGGTTTGGAGAAGAAGATTTTCAAAGATTTTTCCTATACAGTATAAAGGAATGAAAACCTCTTATTAAACATATATAACAACAAATAGGGGAAAATTTTGATGACTAAAATATTAAGTGAAATTATGTTATAACGCTCTTTGGGGTAGTATTTTGTGTCTGCAACTGGGACGTGGTGAACATGGTGAAAAAAACCAAAAGGTTCTAAAATATTACATTCTACCAATATAATTTTAAGCGACCAAAAATTTTGTATAGGATGACCATGTCCAAAAATTGGTTGAGACAAGATCACTTGGAATTACTGAACAGAAATTCTGGACTGTTCTTTAAGTGTTAATGATGAAGGAGAAACAAACGAGACACTTGCTTGATGACATTGTAAACGTCCGCCATTACTTTAAGCTTCCTCGAGTCTGTATAGGATGGAGATTAACATTACTCGCAGCCTGTTCCAAGTAAGAACTTAATCCCAGGTTCTTAAGAACTCTAATTCCCTATTTTCTTTGTAGTGTCTGATTATAGCAGTTATCGATCGAAAGTATCACTCAAAAATAGAGAGAAAAAATCTCCATTTATGAACTTCGCTCAAATTTTCATGTGTGAAATCGTTGCAATAACTTACTCCCTATGTTTCTTTGTGAAATATTGCTCACCGACAAAATCGCATCTGAAAATATGATAGGTCCAAGAAAATGTTTCATTTGATGATCTTAATTAGTGTTAAAAAAACACTACGGTTTGTATTTGTAGATCGTTATTCGTTATTTTGTTTTTTTTTTATATATATATATATTTCGGATGTCATCAAACGATTTTATGATTTTCTAAATGTCAAGTCTTTTATAGAGAAAAAAACTCTTTTGATATTCCAAGAGATTGTATTTTGATTATTTGACAAAATTAATGATGATGTCTTTTTGTTATAAATGTATTTTCCACTATAGAGATTTATATCTTTTAAAGCATAAAAAGGCTACGTTTTGATTGGACAAATTGATGAGTTACGCACTCTGAAACAAATTAATAGGATTTTTCCGCGATACGGAACATTTGAACAATTCTTTAATTGTGATTCATGTAAATGTTAAAGCACTAATTAAACTCTTGCGTTTTAGTCAACAACATTTTTAGCACACGTTTTATGCTTTAGGGTCTTTTAAAAATTGAGTAGATAAAATTATGTGCAAGCACGAAAAGTTGAATTGCTTATAGACCAATTCAAATTAAGTATTTTATAGATATTTGGATCCATATAATTTTTTATCGACGCCCGCGTGGCGCAGTGGTTAGAGAGCTTGCTCTAGAATCGGAAAGAATGGCGTAATCCTTGCGTCGCTGGTTTGAATCCCAATAAATGGCGTGAAGACCCGTCTTTCAGATAAAACCGTATAAACCAAGGTTCCGTAAAGCAGTAGGTTTTGGTACGATAACCGATTCCTTGCTGCTCAAAGAGTACAATTCTAAATTTAATTGCATCCATCCATCGACAAGTGGCGTCGTCTCTATACGATTGTTTAATTGATTGTATGTTGTTTAACGTCTAATTCGAGAATTTTTCACTTATGTAGAGACGTCACCATATACCGATGAAGTGCTTCAAATTTTGTCCTTTACTCGGCACTCAGGGCCATTGAGCAGTGAGGGATCCTTATCGTGACAACGTCTACCGTGACATTGGACCTCGGTTTTTAAGGTCTCATTTGAAGGACCCGCAACTCCAAGTGGCGCAGGGCGAAGGAATTTTCATCGACTGAAGTCAGTCGCGGCTGAGAAGCGAAGTCACAACCCCCGATCACGGAGCGAGCGTTCTACCAACTGAGCTACTGTGTACGGCTGTCTTTGTATACATGTACGAGTGAAACATTCTTCAAACAAACGAAAAAACGAACACTTTGTTAGCTACACTTTTTTGGAGTATTTCACGCACAAATTATTGGAAATATGATGTTTTAATTTTAGGTTTAAAAGGTGAAGCAGATAATTTTTTACCATAGCCTTATATTACAAAAACTATAATTGAATTCTGTCACACTGAAAAAAATTAGATCTCGAAGTAAAGCCTATATATGGTATGATTCACTGATTTATTTTAATTAACGGGCACTGATTAAAGTTTTCGTTTTCGAGAAGTTAAGACCTAAATCTGAAAGATATTTAATAGAAGGACTGATTAATAATATTTGTCAATGGGTTTTTCCCCAGACATTTATTTAGTAATGATGTCGTTTTATTAAATGGACGTGCAGATATCACGTTTTGGGAATTGATCGTTCCCTAAGTATACGATGTCTGTGTTAGATGTCTTGTCAACGAATGACAAACATCTTTAAGGGTGAATTACTGGGATACTGTCAACAGTCTCTCGAAATATATAAATCAAAACAAATGATTATTTTATTCATTGCCATTTAAACCTTAACCATATCATTTTTTGACTTGTCTGGAAATATAAATCATTGAAAGTTTTATTTCCAAAGTCATTTTTAGTCCGACAGGATATATGAACACGTCATACAATTCGAACAAAGCAGTAGAAGACGATTTTTGTTGTGACATTGGAATTTACAAATTGATTTCGATCATTGCTCAAGCTTGCAAATATGATTAAATAATGATGATCTCTTTTTTTATAGATTAAAAAGAATTTTTAAGAAAATTCTTAGGATTCTTAAAAAATAAATAACTAATTTAAATCCTTTTGAAGATAATAAAGCCATTTAAAACAACGTCAAAATAGTAAGGTGTTAATTCAAATTACTGTTAATACTATATAATCATACTTCCTAATTTAAACTTTTGCGAATTAGCTGTCATTTGCGTATACGGTAGTTAAAATAAGGTAGGATTCTTCTCTGGTTTCTGACTAGATAAAATATTCAAAGTAAATTTTCTTCTATATCTTATACATTAGGTGTAAGAGATTTAAAAGACCAAAGTTTTCTTTCCTCGTCACAATTGTACAACTTTAAATAGAAATGGTAAAATACGTTTGAAAAATAGCAGGGACTATATTTTTGCGGAATGGTCGCGTATGAAAATATCTTCTTTTCTGCCTCTCAAAATCATCATAGAACATTAAATTTAGTTATAAGTTTTACCCAATCAAAGACTATACGAAATTTTCAAATGTAAGTTAAATGAATAATAAAGGACTTAAGTTTCAAAATATAGGAAATAAATAAGATTTTTCAAACAAAGTAGAACTATGTTGGCTTTTAATTGCTTAAAATCGAAGTACAGATTTGAGCCATAAATCCATAAAAAGTGTGTGTTATTTTTCTCGTAGTAAACGATCAAAACTTTTAGTTTTTATATCATTTTGAACCTTCATTTGACAACTTTACTATATGTGAAAATGAGAAAAGGTTAAATATAGGAAACATATAAAAATAACTATTATATCCTAAAAACTTTAAAATTCGGATTAACAAATATTCATTTTATTTGAAATATCTGTGTCAGTTTGGTAATATCATCTTATAGGCCCCACATGGTAGTTTCTTTTTATGCAAAAAGAAAATCGTTCAATCTTTTGAAATACAAGTAAATTCGCATGATTGGAAACAGTAAATTTTTTCATGTCCAGAAAAAGGTAATGACCTTGACCTGACCTTGCCTCTAATATTAAACGGTATTTAATTTCAGTGATACCATCATTTAGTGATTTTGACCTCTTGATACATAAGTGAATAATTTCATTCGAAAACTTTTTTAATAGAAAATTGGGGAGATATTCTTCATTTAACAAAACTGGTTTAATGGCCAATGTATTTGATTATTTTGAGATATTATACAAACTGTGTTAATGATGGGTTCTGTGTAAAACATTTTCTACAAAATTGATTCATTTTAATTCTGTTGCAATAAAGCCCTGCTCTAACACCAAAACTCCTGAAAGTAAACCAAAAGCCACGAAATTCACATTTTTTTAAAAAAAAAAAAAGGCACCCTTGCTCATCATTGATAACTTGACAGGTACTTTGATTATTTAATGCCAAGAAGCAGAGAAGATTGTCAAAGACATATCACACATTAACTTATGATCAATAGACACCTTTTAAGTCCCTGACCACTAGGCTATACATTTTACAATTTTGACCAAAAAAAATCTTTGTAAAAGATTTGTGCATGTTCAATATATGATCAATAGAGCCCCAAAGTTTATTACAATGAGTCCACAGTTCGACTGCTTGGTGTCTAGGTTTAAAGAAATTTTTTTGAAAGAAAGTACTAATTTTTATGGTTTTAACCCTTTCTTCATGCGCAAGGGGACATAAACCAAGAAATTCATCTTTTTCACCCTCCGTCCATTGATGTTGAAATGGGGTCAGTGATTCAATAGAAGTGAAAAAGTTAAAACGTTTACAATGAACGACGGATGAAGCCCATAAAGACATCACGTGTAACTGATGTAATCGATATAAAAAATAAAGATAACTGCATAAATTTTAATAAAACAACAAAATACCCCACTGTTCCTTTGTATAAATGGAAACCATTAAACTCTTCGTAAAAGTTCTTTGCAAGTCTACTTCAACTAACATGGGTAATTTTAAAAACTCCGAGTTTACTCTAACGAGCAAATGCTTCAGCGACATTTGGTGTGTATAAGTCTCTTAATCTTTGTTGATGGATGGTGCTAGTTTCATTTTCAAGAACAGTTGTCGTAAATAAGGACATTAAATCCCGATTTACCCGCGCTAACCAATGACGAGACATCCATTACGCGATCAATGTTTATAATTCTAGAGCAGACCCTTGTATCGACATTAATCGTCAATGAAGCCGTGGATGTGAATATCAGTATAGCAGGATCGGTGATTAAAAAGATCGACTAATTAGAATTTTTGTAGCTTTTTGTTTACAGTTACAGCTCATTTTTATTGATGTTAAAAGACGTTTGTAGTTTGAAGATATTTAGCAATAGAAACAAAGTTCAACGAAATATATATAATTTTCATATCGGAATAGTTGTTTTGGTTTATAAGGCGTGTGTGAATTGTGTTTTAAGACATAGACTGTCTCAAAATATTAATTTAGGAATTAAAAACGCCTTTCCTGGATCCCCAAACTATGTCTACCTTGGATTTTTCAGAAGAACGGAGACTAGAGGATTGGAACAAGTCTTTAACTGTTCGTCTGATACCGAATGATATCGTTTTAGCTTTGTATCTTGTGATCGGTGTGATAGGAAATACTGTTGTCTTATGTGTGTATATCATGAGGTTCAGGGGTCAGCACGGTGAACGATATTTTGTCCCCTTCCTGGCACTCGCAGACCTGCTGGCATGTATCACGTGCGTTACTTTCACTTTCTACTTAAATTTTCATCAGGCAGATTTCAAAAACGAGACTTTCTGTAAAGTCATGTGGCCTCTTGCGACAGGAACTACATTCATGTCTGTTTTTCTGCTGTTGGTGATTACTATTGAGAGGTATTTTAAGGTTTGTCGACCCTTTCACGAATTCAAACATAAACGACTATTTCTTTTCATTATTGTCACAATGTCCGTATTTATAGCAGCACCAAGTCCGTTCTTTTTTGGAAGAAGAGCTACGTTTATTCCGGAGAGGAATTTGACACGTTACAGATGCACCGTAATAAAGGATATAAACAGTCCTGGACCGAATATCTATGGGTTTGTTTTGGGTATGTTTAGTATTTTTACTCCTATCACTATAGCAGCTGTTTACATCAGGATTGGTTGGAAACTTCGGGGACAATTGAGATTCCGACAACAATTTCTATCAACAAGGAACTCACCCCAGTTATCAAAATCTTTGGGCAGAGATTGTCATGGCCATTCCTGTGAAACGTTGATTTTAGACAGGCAGCATCATGGCACTCATTTCAAACTTTTTAAGGAGAAAATAATTCTCCATCAAAATCATTCATGTTCAACGGAATTCAGTGATCATGATGATAGACGCATGGCAGATATGAAACAAAGTCCTGACGAACAAACAGAAGAAACTAGACACTTTGCTAATGAGGGAATAGTAAGTCATAAAACTAATGAGGCGTCAAAGGAAAACAAATGTGACATGCCAGGATGTGCGAAGACGGAAGTTCCTGGAAACGCCCGCCATTTTTCATTGGATTCTGGAGTCCATTTAAGATCGGTCGCCGTACAGCTTTCTCAATTTAGACAACGAACTTGTAGTTCAACACGAAAGATACAAATACCGACTAGTTCATTAACAAACCACACTCCTAAAACATGCGTTAACGTTGAAACAAATGAACAAATAGAAAGTGTTAATAAGAACAATAACCCTGATTCGTTAACAAAGTTTCGAAGCAATGTTTGTGAGGTATGTCATTTGCAAACGTCTGAAAATGCTCATGTCATTTGCTACCGTAACGCTTATTTCAATTCAAGTGCGATTTGGGGTAGACAACTTCCGGAATACCCAGTACGTAGACACGTGAACGCCCATAAAGGTCACCTTGGCATGCATCGGTTCACAATCATGTTCATGCTCATCACCGGTATCTGTTTTCTCTGTTATCTCCCAAAAATTTTCCTCTTAATTCTGGAATCGGTGATGACGTCATTCTGGGTGTCAATTCCTGACCAGTATCTAGGATTTGTCCTATTCCTGTACCGTTTTTATATATTTAATAATGTCTGCAATCCTATCATTTACTGCCTGTTTGATTTCCGTTTCAGGCGGGAAATTAAGTTCCTCTGTTGTCGTCGACGCATAATGTATTAGCTCCTATTATGACTGTATGTATTAATAAAGTTGTGTTTTGACATTGTGACGGGAAATGGAAACACACACAGGCACTGGATTCGGTAATAATGTTTTAACCTATAGTACAGGGTGTTTCACAATACATATCACACATCTAATTGTAGAAAGCAAAATAACATCAAACTTAAACCAATACGTACATTTTATAAATTATTTTAATAAACATACTTTCGAAATTATCATTTTAAGTCAGAAGTATCCAATACTCTTCATTTCAGTTATTGTGGCAACGATAACTTCAAATGATATCTCCAGTTATTTACCCTTATGCTGAATAACTTTAGAAACCCGTGTGTGTTGAAATTTCTGACTAGATATCTGGCAGATTTCTTGTTTTATATTTCTAGCACCTCAACAGCACATGTTTTATTTACTTACAGATGCATTTTTAAATTAAAAATATGCCTCATTTGAGAGTCATATGTTGTCAACCATTTCTTGGCTTTGACGTTGAAACCACCTTGGAAACTTCAACCGATTCTTAATGCAGTTGGCTTTACATGTTGCATTACTGAAATCTTGTAAGCAGTCAGACACAAATCAAATATAGATTTCTTAATAAACTTGAAAAAATTGCATTAACACAATCCATCTCCCTAAATACAGATATGACTGGCTTTGTTAGTGTTTCCTCGATGGTTGACCTCACTCTGTCAATGTTCCCATCTCCACATGATTTTCATGGAGCACCAGGATTTAAATGCCTTTCACCCTTTACTAGTATCTTTTAGTTCAATCTTATAAAGTTTCCTTACTATCTGAAATCTGGAGAAGACTGTGGACTGGTCTAGATATTTTTTCTTTATCACACGTGCACAATTTTAGGACTTCTGTGTTAATAATAAACTTAAATTTACATATACATAACTCAATTTTTGTTTCGCAAGAAGTATTCCATATTGAGAACACCTGAAATTATGACATCACTGATGAAGTCATCAGTGACTTTATAGTATGATAATTTCCCAAATAATTTGCTTTGTCCTAATTTTAGGTCAATATAGTTGCCCAAGCTATTTAAGTATTTTTGGTATCATGCTTTATATGCTGGTTATGCCCATTTAGAAGTGTGATATATACATTGAAACGCCCTGTATAATAATATTAACACAAGGTATTAAACTTTCAGAGGAGATTCACTTACAAACTGTTTCTAATCATTGTCTTCAACAATAATTTATCTCTACCACCATATATAACATTATTGTCTTCATTTTCTTTTATATCCGTGTACAGCGTCAGAACTCTTCTCGCATAGTGAGGTCGTCTCACACCATTAAATGGTTCTCACCATGAAATGGTATGTGATAATTCAATTTTTCAAAGCTGAAAAATCTGCTTGTCTCTAAAATTAAATCAGAAAAAATCGAAGTGTGTTATGGAAAAAGAGAGACGCATATAAAAACAAAATTTGATGTATTCATCGCAATATTTAAACACTTAGATGAAATTTTAAACTTACTCATTTTTTTAAAGTTTGAAATATGTCCTGGAATATCAGATATCATTGCATGGTGTAAGACGACTTTTCCACTCGGCGAACAGATTTCTGACGCTTTTTCCTGAGAACAAAGAAAATAAAGACAAGAATGCTATTTATGTATGTTAAATTATCGTAGAAGACACAAAAGTAATAAACAGTTTTTATAGTTTATGTTCTTCCTCTGAAATGAGAAATGAGTGCGATTCTTGGGTACTCCAAGTAGAGTTAGATATCTTTTGTTATTATTACCGGGTACACTACGGGTTAAAAATTTAGTATCTCTGGTAAAATCGTATAAACTTTCTCCATGACATGGTTTTTTTCTGAGAGGAAAAAATATGTACTGACATATGCATAACTATTCAGTTTGTTTACAAAAATGCATACATAAAATAGAAAATTCTGTACCCTGAATTCTTTAACTTGTACACTGGACAAAAAGATCTCTCATAATTAGTATTTATTTCTGATAATCTTTTTTCTCGTTTTCAAACATTCCTCATTAATGTTCAGTGTTATACTTTCTTTTAATGTATATGTAATTGTATTTTGAAAAGTTTTTTACTGGTATGAATTTTAAAATTTCAAATTATAGATTTCTTTTGTGAAGTTTAAATTGTTTGTAGTTTTAGCCCGTATACAATTTTATACCGGGTAAAGATATTCCCCATGCGAAAAAATGCTGAAGCATCGATCAATATTTTAGTCCATAAACAATTTTCCCATAAATTATTTTCGTAAAACATTTTTTCAAAATAAATTTATGATAAAATAGCTAAGGTTTAAAACCATTTTTTATCAGAGGTACTTGGTAGACGGTAGTGTCTAATACTATTTTGCAGTTTTCATAAACAACTTTCGTTTTCTTAGTATACAGTGTATGTCTGGTCGATTGCTAATATTCAAAATGAGTGTTTTTGAAAAAAGAAAGCCTATTGTAGACGTTTCCACAAAATTGCAAAACTTGTTCTTGAAACACTGGGTATTCTACAGCTAGTTCTAACTATTGATTCACGATAACCACAATATTGAGGTTTAGAAAAAAAATTCTGCAGAGGGAAAGATTTGGAAGGGCTAGGAATAAACCTCATTTTCAACACTAAGTGCTGTTCTTACTGAACAAATATTGAAGCCTTGTTTGAATGTTAATTTTTGAGGCCTAAGAGCATTTTCCATTTCTGAATTACCACATAGTACAAAGTGAAATACTAGGTGTTTCAGAAATATCGCTAGAGTAAACATAGGCAGACAAGAGGAAATATATTAAATAAATTGGAAACTATCCACGAAAACCGCATGTATATTCATTAGAATGTACGGGGTATTGTCATTAAATATAATTATTATAGAAAAATTTAAAATTCATGTACTTAATATTATCAATATAACATTTTAGATAAATGTTTTATACAATAGCAATATAATCTCTAAAATATGATAAATATCAGAAGTAAATACAGTTAAACTTGCAGTGTAGACAAAGAGACAATTTTTCCTCCAGGAAAAAGCTTCAAATTGAGCATATTTTAAAATTAACGTCAAGCGGAGTAATACGTTTTTGACGTAACTCATTGTGGCGTAGGTAAGACCTATAAACCGGGGTCCCTTGTCGCAATAGGTGTTTGCATGGAAAAGAAACCTCACTGCTCACAGGCCCTGAGTGCCGAGTATAAGACAAAATTTACAGCTCTCCGCCGACATATGATGGCGTCTCCATATGAATTAAATATTTTCGAGAGGGACGTTAAACAATAGAACAACCAAAAACAGATAGTCTTTCAGATATTTTAATTCTTATTAATTAGAACTGGACCAGGAAAGTTTAATATAATATGAGATTTTTTTATCAGTGCAAAATGTTGAATCAAGTTTGTTCGAATCCTGATCCTTGACGATATATTTGGCGGGCCAAAGCAAGGCATCATCATCAAAGATTTATTTATAAGAACATATAGGAAATATATTCAAAAATCTTTTCAAGTACAAAGCTAAGACATGATCATTAATATTTCCACAGAAGCAGTCTCAAGTCACACCATTGCCTAAGCGTTCGTTCGCACTTCGTTGGAACCGTAACAGGGAGTTCAAGCTATATATTATAAATATATGTATATAATAAAGAATCATTAGAAATCTTCTCAAGAAGAACAAAGTCATGATTAGTATTATTGATGTGAAAACAATTTGTTCAAATTATCAGTTACAGTGAGACCACTTATTATATATTTTACTTAAATCAGTACTGAATTGGTTTTGGTTATCCCTTACCAAAGTGTCATGGTTAGTGAAGTGTCACATAGACCACATGTTTTAATATCTACTGAATCTGAATACTAGTAGCTTAGAAGGCATTTTAAAAGTACTCATGTATCTCAATGTTAGGTTTAAATTAAGTGTATTTTAGTAAACATAAAACATGGAAACCCCGCAAACTTAATACTAAAGTATATTTATTGCAAAAAAAAAAAAAAAAAAAAATTTCATAGAACAAAGAAGAACACATAAAAGTGAATGTGAATCATGCACAAAAAAAAAATTAACATTTGCTTATGGTGCCTTGAGTGAAATCAAACGCAATATGTCGCCTGGATCACAAAGGGATGGCGGCGACAAATTTATAATGTGTTTGTTCCTAACAACTAAGTACAATTAAAACATACTTAAGTTTATTTTAGGCCATTTTGTTAATCAGAGACCATTTTTCTTGCAAGAACATTCATGTAGAAGTTAAAGCAACAATTACAGTAATTATTCAATCAGTGCATGGACTGATTTGTCCCTTATTTCTGTACACACAGCTCTGCATATGAAATAACATTTAAATTGATCTTCGTCGTTTATGATCATCTTTTATTCCCCTCTGTTATTACTTTGTATGTGAAGTTGAAAGACATCCTGGAGTCAATAAATGGCTCGTCTATGCATTCATTATCTGGAATTCATTTATGTGGAAAATGTTGAACAATATTTTGAGTAAGAAATATTTAATGGTTAAAGTATGCATTAAACCCGTTTAATTAATACTTTTTTCAAAATATCAACAAATTTTGATTTTTTTATATTTTGACTCTAAATTTGAAAAGATAAGTTTATTCAAGTTTCAATAAAATCAAGCCCGTAATATGCTGGAGGGCAGGGTCGCCCCTACTTTTCTGAGACTAGTCCACAAAGTTAAAAGAAGCCCCTACCCCATTCCAACGAAGTTGGATTTAAGAGTTCGTGCATTTTGCGTTTTTGTGTACTTATCAACTCTTTTCGTAGTCCCTTCGATTCCTTTCCCCTTTAAAAAAAATAACGGGTCTGAGTCGTGATAATGCAATATGTCAATCTAGAATATACAGATACCTGAAAAAGAGAAATGTAGTTTATTATTACCATAAAAAATTTCATTCACAAGCATCACAACAAGGTTTTTTTTAGGTTTATTTACAATCAATAAGCCATCAGTTCTAAACTTCACAGAAAACTCTCATAGAAAATGGATCTTTTTTGATCGACTGCAGTAGATAGGTGATACAGTTG